GGAGGAGGAGAGCGAGGAGGATCCTCCTCCTCAACTGAGGAGGAAAAGTTTTTTTTGCTCAAAGGGCTATTTTTATCACAAAAATATCATTTTTAGCTAAAAACATTTTCCTCCTCAGTTGAGGAGGAGGATCCTCCTCGCTCTCCTCCTCCTCCTCATTTTCCTCCTCACCATTCCTCCTCCTCAGAGGAACAATCCCTGTGTATTATACATATATTCGATTCAGTAACATACACTTTTGGGAAAATCTTAGCACACATTTCAAGGTCAAATACCTCTGCAGTCAACCGGTAAATGTCAAATTGCAAGGACTTTTTTCTTTGACTCCTTGAATGAGTTTTTTAATAAAATGTTGAAACAAAAACCGAGGAAAAGTTATACTTTGTTTGATTTTGATAGAAGTGTTAAAAAAAACTCAAACACAAAAGCATCGTGGTTTACTACAAAAATAGATTTGGAAAAAATTGCGACACTGAGTTATCAAAGACAATGAAATTTCGTGAACAAAAAATAAGTGTATTCATATGATATTAGTGAGGTCGTCAATTCTTATCAATTTCTTCAAAATTAATGTAATTTCATCACATTTTGTAAATTGGTCATATTTAGTGTCATGTAGTCAGTATAATATATCAAAATACCTTATCAAATGACATAGTCCGATTCATCATCTATCAAACAACACATTTTCAGCTATCAAACGCTTCACAGGCAGTTCTTGTTACTACATGAATACCATATTTTAGTTTCGAATAATTGAACTTGCCTAAATAGATAATCAATTCTATTCACAGTAGAGCACATAGTTGTATATTGAATTTTAATTAAACCAATTTTATAGATTATTTATTCTGAATTTAATGAAATGGCATCGACTCAATTAAATATTTTTTTGTTGATTTTTTTTATTCTTATTTAAATAAATACATATACGCAATTTAAATAAATAAAATTGCGTAAACAAAAAGTAATACAGGACTCATACGAATTAGACCAGCTGAATTGGGTTTAAATGGACAATTTGTGGTTGGTTCACTTGGTTGACTTGATTTTCCATCTATATATTTTGCAATCACACGGAACGTGAAACCTTTTTCTGGTTGAGAAATCTTATGATGTGTATATTTAATATAATCAGCAGCCGTAGTCCACCAATATTCTTTAGATGATTTTTTTTGAATAGTATAGTATTTAATATTTTTTCCACGTGCTTCCCATTCAATTATTGCCACTTTTTCGTTGCATCGAAATTGTGTTATTATCGGTGGCTCTCGTGTTGGCGCTTCGGTTGATGCCACTTCTGTTGGTGGCGCTTCTGTCGGCTTCGGCACATGTTTTGCCATTACACTTTCAATCCAACTAGCATATGAATAAACACGTGTAAAAACGTCTGGATATTTAGTGCCACACTATCAATTAGAATTACATTTTTTCAATATTAGTTTCCAGTTATCTATCTAGTATATTATTTATTATGGGATAATGGGATGTTTCGTTAAAAATACTAACAGGTATGCTCCAGGAAATAATTCCAACCAATACTTTATTTTTGGGATCTCTTGCATCAACCAATGGACCACCTATTCATATAAAAATTTATTTAAATAAAAGTGATTGTTTCGTTATTCGGCATATTGTAAATGATCTTATTTACCAGAATCACCCATACATACTCCCACTGCCTTTGGACTTGAAATGCATATATTTGATTCAGTAACTTTGGGAATTAAATTCTCCCGGAAAATCCTAGCACAGTTTTCAAGGTCAAATATTTCTGCACCGATAAAATACAAATTGTCAAGGGTAAATGGCTGAACTCCTGGGATTTGTTTGCTGTCAAAATAAACCTAGTAATAAAAGCACCAAAGAATAACTAACTTAAACTATATGTTTTGCCATTTTATTTCAGCAAAAATTTGAAATTAATTTGAATTTTACTACACACCTGTTATTAATGATAGAACCATCGCAAAAATGAAATCCTTGATAGCGAAGTGACACTTGATATGGAAATTGTCCTTCTTTGGCATTTTTGCCACCAAGTATGAGAGTTGTAGAATTGATTTTTGGAACTTTAATGTCGGCCAAAACACACAAAGTACAAAGTGCCAAACTGACTATGTTTATCGCTTTCATATTGCTTGTTAACTGAAAACCTCAGCGAATTGTATGGCTATTTATTCGGTAATTTTTCGTTTTGATTGCCAACCACTCCAAAAACTATGAAATTCAATGGCGATGAATCATTTTAATTTGTTGGTGTGAAATTGTGTGCAGTACGGAAACTACTGATTATCAATTGAGTATCAAATTCTTATCGGAAATTGGTTCAACTGAAAAGAAATGCTTTATTAATAATTTATGATGTTCAAACATGTTTTACAGATCTTGGCGGAAAACTGAACAAATCGCTTTAATTATTATCACTTACTGTTATTGGCTTTGATTAAGTATATCACAAAATTAGCAAAAACTTATTGTCACTAAAAAAATATCAAAATAAAGATAATTATATCACCGCATTTACGTTCATCGGTAACCACAGTCTGGAAATCGCTATATGGTTGTAATGTTAATTTTTCAATCAATCATTGTGAATTTGTTAGTGGCGTACATACGATACTACTTATTGAATCTCAACTGATTACCAACCTGACTAGCTGTTTAAGGCAAAGAAAATTTATATTATTCGTCTTTAAATACAGAAGCTCATACAACTCAATTCGATTGAGTGGGCAAAAAACATGCTTTGTTTCATGACCACAATTTGCCCATGTTTTCATCTTGATTAATTTTAAATTTCTTCGCATATAGACACATAAAAATCAAAAGTGACTGTAAAGAATTCCTATCAAAATATGACAAAATAAATTACAGGTTTGTTTCTTGCATAAACATATTGATATCACGCTAAATATAAAAAAAGGAATACGAACGCCTTGAGTCGAATTTGGCGATTGGTGAGAATTTTGTTTGATCATATTGAAGCATAAATCTCGACAACCTTTTCGATTTACCATTTAATATTGCCATCAAATGATGTATCTTGTTTACACTTCATTTAATGTGATCTAATTTCTTCCATAGCTAAATCGGGGCCAATTGGAAAATATGTCATATTTGATACAAAAATGGATAGAAAATCTTCATCGGTTGTGAGTTAAAGCTGTTTCTCGTTGCCTTTCTATGTCAATTTAAGGCAACTGAGAAGAAAAATAAAGATTCGTATTACATAGCTGCACGAAGAGGGACTGAGACAGAGATACATCTATAAATGATTGTATAGCCTGTAAAAAGAACGATAATGGTCTACGGCGGCTGAATTGATTGCAGAAATTAAGTTAATTACTGCTGAATCGCCTTTAGGGTAGCAAATTAATTTATACAAAAATAAAGTCAATGTGGGAGCATGGGAGCAACTCATGTGTTTTTCCAACGCAACAAGAAAAACAAACTTCATTTATTGCCGACGCATACTCCTTGGATGATAACAAATATGGTGCTGTGTCCCTCTCGCCAACATAAGCCATCATAACGACAAATCGTTTTCAATCTGCCTTTTTATCAAATCATGTTTTGTGTCGGGTCAATGTCACTCCATTGCCGTTTATTGGGATTTCAAAACATTCGACTCTTTTTGGTTTCAGTTGGGTTTCTCATCACTCATCTCATCTCATCACATCACATTGATGATATAGTTAATTTTTAGAAGTATTTTAACGAAGTGAATTATATTTTTGTCCACCAACATTATCGTCATTTGCATTTTCATCAAAATTGAGCACATTGTGCACGTTGTTGAGATTATCTTTTGATATTGAATATCTTTTACGTGAAAAGTTGATATTCGTTTACATTCGAAATTGTTTATCGCTATTTATAATGTGTGTTACGTCAAAAGTTCTATTCAATTAAATACTTATTTTGATCTCCTCTGCTCTACTATCGAATTTCATTGAATTGTAAATAAAATTAGAATTACGTAAATGTTGGTTCATTATGTTGTTGAAAATACAATTTTATCGAAATTTCAAAATATTTGAGGTAAATACCATTATATTTTTTTGCCTATGACGTCAATTAAGTTTATAATAAAACTGTAAAATTCAGTTGTTTGCGATCCATTACGCAGTTATACAACATATCTGCCATAAAGATTTTCTTCGTAGTTCTGAAGAAAAACACTCAAATGAAAATATAAAATGATCAACAAACAATCGACATTTTACATAAATTAATAAATAACTCACTTTCGGTAAAGAAATCAACCAGATAATTTGCATGTTATTTCCATTCTATTTTAAAAAATAAATAAATTTTTACATCAGTTTCTATCAAACTGTGTTCCACTTTTATAGACTCTGCGTACAAGTCGGATTTTTATTCTGACCCATTCAAATGGTGGTTTAAGTAATCACATCTGTTATTTCAGAAGGTCTGGAAATCGGTGCGCTTTGACATCTCTGCTCCAAATAAGAATAATAATATGGGCGAAAAGTTATTGTAAAAAATTATGTTGAAAAATGTGTATTCGCTCATGTTCAGTCGATCATTTAAATCTTTCAATCAAGAATTTACTGATATAACATGAAATATATTTGTTGTTTTTCAGCTCGATGTTGTTAAATGTTAAGAAATTTAGAGAAGTTGTGGCCGTGCAAATTTTTTAAATATCACTTTGCACGGCCATAACCTCATTAACCAAAAGAGTTTTGAACGAGTGAACACATATTGGAAAACTGAATTGTTTGCAACTATTATTATTATATTATATAAAAGTAGCTTGGGTTGTTTTTTAAATTTGTATAGAATTTATTATTTTCGTGTACACGTCCAGTTTATTTCATCTGATAATGTGTTCAATAAATTTTGAAGGAAAAAACAAAACCAATTACGCAAATCTAATCGAATATTCACGAGCTTTGAGACTGCGCAAAAATTCAATACATAAATAAAAAAAGTTGGTAAATATTGATGTTGTACTATGTTGTAAATATTGACAAATGAAAATGTTGAAAATGAACGTAATTCATTTTTTCTACAGACGTAAATCGACTTTTCCATTTTTGATCTGTTATTATTATTTTCCTACCCGTCACATTATCATGTTGAACATATTATTGGTCCTAGTTGGACCTTCGAGGAAGGTGAACAAAAAAAATGTTGCAAGACAAATAACAATAATGCACAATGAATACTTGCGGCTTTCATCTTTGATTGTACATAAAATGTTGTCAACCAACTGATAGAAAATCTCTGAAAAGATTACATCATTACGTTAGCACTCTGGTTTTGCATGTAATGTCACATTTATAGCTAAACAGCTTTTGTTAAATTTCTGTACTACAACCAATTTTCACAAAGTTAAGTGATAACAAAATTCGGATGCTTTGAAAGTGGCGCACAACATCATATCTTTGCGTTATTTACAAATTGGGCCAATTTAGTCGAATGACGGTGGTGGTTATTCCGTAATATTTTTCTCGTTGATCGTTGTTGTTGTTGTTTTTTCTTCTACTTCGTTAAAAGAATTATACTTTAAGAAATAAATCTTGCATAAGCACCAGATTACCGCAAAAAGACTTAAATTATTGGGATGTAATTTGTTCGTTCTTTTTTCTCGTTTCAAAAACTTCGTTCGTATTTTAATTTGAAAATGTTTCCAATATTCGTCCCAAACTTGTGCGACTCAAACTCAGTCGAATGGAAATAAGGTACACGTACCGAGAAACGCTTCGACGCATAAATAACGCAGCAGAAAAAGACCATGATTCAAACTAACCACTGAAAAAGTTAACAATTTATAAAGAATTTACTGTGGATTTTTGGTGCACGTTTTTTCTTGCGCACATTTTTTATCTGTAAATTATTTACACCTAGAATGTAATGCAAATTGTTGTTTGGCAGTAAATTTTAAATCGAATCAGAGACTACCGTTTAAAAAGTATTCATTGTTGTTTTGCTCGCGTGCATTGGCTTAAAAAATAAAGTTTTCAGACAATGTAATAAGAAATTTGGAACTGGCTAATGCCAAGACACTCTTTTCTCTTTGCCCGGATCCCGATTTTGTTTTTCTTGTTTTTTCGTCGTCCATGCAGAAAATACATATTGCCTTCATCATCAAAATCAAATTTATGCGCGCAATTCATTTCAACGTTTAACAGCAGAATATCAACTAGACAAAGATGCATCAGTCACTCTGTTATCTCTCTCTCTCTCTCTCTCTCTCTCTCTCTCTCTCTCTCTCTCTCTCACTTCCATTTGAATATGCCATACATATTGACAAAATTTAATTTACAAGTTTTGCATCCCAGTTTGAATCGATTTCGGAATTTGAAACACTTATTGGCATTGGTGAAATCATTTCAGTTCGTATCGTAGAAAATCGTTCGATTCCAAGAATTGAATTTCAGCGTAAAGTTTTCCGTAACTATATCCCACCAACCATTACCGAGGCATTTTCGATTAGAATTTCTGAAAAACATTTAGATACTGTACCTCAACGATAAAAACAAAATATCACTCGCTCAAAAACAGTTCGAATGAACAATTTGTTCAAGAAAGAGACAAAGAGAGAAAAGTGTACCATTCGAAAATGCCTTGCAGTAAAAATTTATTGAATACAATGTCATTTATATTGAATCGCATTACTTCAATTTGCATAAGTTTTGCCGAACGGTTTCGCTGCTGTAAACTTTTTGTTTCAGTTTACATTGACAATAGCTATCAAAGTGCATCATTTAATTGATATTACTGTAACAATTTTACTTCACAATTCTACATTTTATTCAGTTTCCTTTCTGCATTGAATTTCCATAAAGGAAATATTATTACAATTCTCCACTGAACTCGTATGCATAAAATGCCCCAAGCAAATTGTTGAACGCTTTCCCATAGTAAAATTACTTGGTCTAGCTTTTGATGAAAGCAATTTCAAATGATGTGTTGAACATGTAGATGGCGTTTGATGTTGTCTCGACAATTTATCATGAACTTGCCACTTTTACAGTGCCATTACGACGCAAAATGTTTAATCAAATATCTTATCAAATTGAAATTGCCAAAAATTGAACGGTTTGGAAGACTTTATATATTTCCACAAACAAAATGTTTAATTTAAAAAGAGTTCAGTTTTCTTTAATACAAAAAAATCGATTCTCAATGATTTGTAACCATTGATAAACGAAAGATATCAAAAAAAAAAGGTTGAATTCAAAAGAAATTGAGAGAAAATGTCTCTTATTAGAGAGAATGAATGACTAACCGCCGATACATTTTGCATAATAATAGAATTTATAGTATACAAAATGCGATTTGAAACGAAACATCAAAAAATCGGCATCAACCATAACCTTTGTCAAGCATTCGCACCAATACATGCGCCGCCAAAATGAAAATAACAAATTCTAAAAATCTATAAATAAATTTTGAGCCGTGTGTGTTCGGCATAACGTTGTATGTTCTATCAGCTGTCCACCGTACGGCTCATACACATTCGCCGATGAGTGTGACAATGGTAAGTATGGCAGTTGCACAACAAAATGAAATAAAAAGCGGTGCACGACGATTCCACCACATGCGAACAAAGTAAATAAAAACAAAACGTCTACAAACATTGGCACAGCGCACACCAATGCAAATTAACTACACCGGGACGAAAACTACAAAACGTTTCTGCCAAAATGTGCGTGAGATATCGCGCTTTCGTGTGTATGAGTGAGTTGTTTTCTTTCTCTTTCGTGATAATTTGTCCTTCAAAATGATAATACGCATAAAGAATTTTGGCATGTTTATCATTTGAATGAAGTTTATGTTAGTGAAAATTGATCCATTAAATTGACCATTTTTTTCTTCTTGAAAACAGTCAATTTAGGAGAAATGTTGATTTAGTTTGTGTATTACAAAAAAAAAAGAACCATCGAGAGAATAAATTTTATAATTTAAACCACATACTTTGAAATCTTTGGTTTGTGGCGAGGAATACTATTAAACGAGCGACAACACCAGTGCAATTTCATTCAACGCGTATATATGTGATACGGTCGTATGTAAGACGTTTGTTGTTGACGCTTTTTCTTGCGATTCGATTTGCCCACAGAGTGGTTTGTGATTTTTGATGAACATTTTTATTTTGTTCATTTCCATTTGAGTCTTCGCTGTCGCGTGAATGTATTTCGTAGTTTTTTATTTTGTATTGGCTCGCTCAGAGAAGGCGAAATTGTAAACTTTAGTACTTTAATTGACTTTGTGAGTTTTGATTCAATTAATTTATCGATCGAACTGCAATCAGATGTTTTATATCAGAAATCAAGTGCAAATGTTATAAAAAGGTTAATTAAAATTGTGGTCATATTAATCGATTCATTTCAGGCTGATTCAAGTAGCCTGAGTAATTAGAAGGTAAGTTTGTATACAATGGTTTCTTTTGTCTTTTAAAAATAAATAGATCACTGATTGTAATTCGACTCAATAGCAGCGATTCGAATCTGAATCGTTTGCTAAATAATGAACAATTTGAACAAAAAAAAATTAAATATATGATTTGATCAGTTTTCGATGAAAATTTAATTTTTAAATTTCAACTGAGTCAATTTATAATCGACACAATCAACCAATATACTATACCAATCTATTCGTGTGAGATGCTGAACTCCATTTTCAAAAGAGAGAAACGGTAACGGTTTTTGACGTTTTGCGCACTATATTATTGTAGTTAAAATCATTGATGACCGAACTCCTTTTATTATTATTTTGGGGGAAAGACACACACAAAAATTACGATGTTAAGCTTCGGATAGAATTTGTTCGACGTATTCGACACTGACATATTGTGCATCCATAACAAATAAACATATATTTCCATCTTTGTAAATTTTGAATGTACAAAAAAAGTAATTGCGGTGACAGCATGGAATAAATACTAGAAAAAAAATAATATTCGTTGATTCGTTCGTTTTGCCGCATAACCGCTCCGCACATCGGCTGCGCCAAACATGTACGACTAACACATATTTCGTGGTTGATGTTTTATCGGCAAAAGTGAAACAAACCATAGCCGAAAAAAAAGCCCAACAACTGTATTAGTGCAACGCATCGCTGACGCGTTCATTGTTGGTGGCTGGTGTCAACGTTGTGCACACATTCGATTTAGTTTTTGGTGCTGTTCGCACTTTTTGATTATGACACAATCGGTTTTATTCGATTGCATTCGTGTGGCTAGACTGTCGCCGATTTTTATCATACATGTGTATGCGTTTATTATTCATTTTCGTTAATGTTGTGTTTCTTTTCATCAATTCACTCCAAAAATTGCTGGCAACTTTTTTCATTCGAAGGTTTAATTCGATATCTCGTTCGTTGTATAAGCGATCAAGTATTGTGGTAGTCTTTATACTCCGAATTTTTCGTGTTTCGTCAACAACAGCAAAACAAAATCGTTTCGTTTATTCTTCTTCTGCGGCGCTGTTGATCGGTATATTTTTTGCATGTTATTATTGCCATCTCACTCGGATCGGGTTTCGTTTCGTTTGCTCACTCATTTGAAAATTCATTTACGCTCCGACCGTCAACATCGCTTTACTTTCAATCGGTGTGTCTCGTTGTGAATATCATGTTGTACGTAGCCGCATACGATGCGATAGCTCTCTCACACACAATTCGCTTCCCTAAAATTGAAGTTACGAGCCAGTTTCACTTACGCTACGGTGCAACACAGTTAACCAAAATTAATTGGATAGTTTGTTTGTTTCTTTCTTTATATTTTTTTTACGATTAATTTTCTTTTTTCGTTGTTGTGTGAACAAAACATTTATTTGGAATTTGAGTGAGTGCATTTTTCATGTTTCGAACTATTTTTTTATTTATTGTTTTTATGAATTTCGGATGATTTCGGATGATTATATTTATGATTTATGGTACGGAATTTTAAAAATCATGAGTTTTTCTGAATACGATGAGTTTCGGTGTATGTCGCGACCATTAAATTGATGATGACCTTGATTCAGTTGTCATACTGTCAAATATTATGGAAAATAAGTACTTAGAATGTTGTATTACATCAAGCTTGAAGCAAGACGGATACAAGAACAACACATATGACAGTGAAAATATGAAATTGATTTTCAACCATTTCTTTTTGTGAAATTGATTTGCATCATAACGGAATCATAGCGCGAGCGACATTTTTCTTTCACATGTTTTGCATTGCAAATGAGTTTTTATCAATTCGTGTTTTTGCATTTTTTTTTTGCACAAATCTTTGAATATAAAATCATATCGATCAGTTGTTGTCAAGTCAATTTTGGCTTTCGATTTTTCGTTTCATTTTATATAATCTAATCTATGGCAATAATTCCTTGTTGATAGACTGCAAAACGCAATTGAGTTTTTTTATAAGAAAATTATGTAAATCAAAATGCACACCATGCATATGGTCTTTTGCGAAAACAAAATAAAAACAACAATTGATACAATCGAAACTGGTTTTAAGCATTTCGTGTTAATTTTCACATTCGACCAGCGCACCACCGTATTAAACATACAGCGTTGTAATCGATTTGCATTTATCAACTATTTCATTCGATAATGGCATCAAAACGATAAAGCCAAAAGAAATATACTATATCATACACATATATTTTATTTTCGTATCATGTCCCATACGACTTTCATGTCTCACGGATAGACTGGTATATTCTCTCTATATGTATAACAGGCCAAAAAAAATCGCATTCACTTCGTGTATTTATTATCTTCGCTTTCGTTGTTGACGAATAAATTTCTGCATTATTTTTTTTTTGTTGCTGCTGCTGCTGTTGTTGTTGTTGTTCGATTCTTTGCACCGTTCAAGGTTTTTTCGATGCGTTGATTCGAATGATATGTTTACGTTGCCATCTTTGCTGCGAACGTGAAATAAAGTCACTTCAGCGATGTCAGTAGCACGATTCAATGTGAACGTCAAGAATTCAACACATAAATCTATATAAATAAAAGTATATCATTCAGAACTCTTTTTGGTAAACGCTACCCAAATCGACATTAAATTTTGAAATCGAAAACAAAATTCAACTGAAGTGGCCCATGTATTTGAGGTTTTTTGAATCGTTTCCTTGTAATCTCTATTTTAAGATTTTTATAAACAGAATGATCGTAAAAAATGGAACAAAAAAAATCGGCCGAATTTCAGAACAGGCCTCATTTCAATCAGAGAAAGTTTTCATCATTTTTTTTACTCGTCTTATTCTAATAACCTTATTTAATTGAGTTTCTTTCTCGACTTATCGTCGAATGTTCAACTGATTTTATTTCATCACACACACACACACCAGTCTTTTGGCACACAATATATAATAAGGAAAATTCACAGCTGTTCATATATTTACCAAATCGAAGCAGCTTATACAATTAATTAAATTCAATTAACATTCAAGTGAAGCTGTGCACCAAAATCTACAGATTGTTGATGAAATTCAAAGCAATACCGTATTTGTTGCGATGCATTTCTAAAGCATGTGTTTAAATCGATTCAAATGTTGAAATTAAAAAATCGACTTAAAATAGCCAGAAAAATAAACGGCACACCTGAAAAAACTCTATTTGATTATAACAGTATGTGATGCTTTTGTTAATTCCATTACACCCTCATTGTTGGGTGCACTGCACCAGAGATATACAATTCAATATAAGTACACAGCATTTTCGTAAACAGCAAAACATATGTTTCAAAAGAGGAAAAAACGCGATGAAATAATTTTGAAATAAAACCACAAAAAAATTGTGTATGGAATTCGGTTTGCCACAAAGAGTATGTGTGTATTCAAGTCACCTGTACGATTGATGTCAGTAATGTCTTAGCGTTTTCTTACAGTCATTTTATTTTCGTTGTCTTTTCAATCGATTTTGTTCATTGTCTTGAATACATTCTCACTGATGTTCATTATAACTCTTTCGCACACAAAGAGGTGTTATCACAAAAAGAAAAGATATATTATTCTACGAAGGAAACCGAATCAAGTGCATTTGTCACATTCTGATTGCTTCGAAGAAAAAAAGCTAAAAGAAAACAAAAAAATATCATTGTAAAAATCGAATCTAATGCAAATTCTATTTTTAATAAGTAAAAGAGAGAGGGAAAAAGTAAACGTGTTAATCAGTTCCACTATGTGTGCTCAATGCAAAGCAATTCTTTTTTAATATCGTTACTTTGTTGCATTTTGTGGTGTCATTCGCTGTTTCTTCGCCTGATAAACCCATTGATTAGTTCAATGAACTGAATTATAGCGTTTGAACTACAGTCACTCGCTCACATGTTTGAGCATTTTCAAATGCCTTCGCTATTTGCAGGCGTTCGCGTAGCGCGTTCGCAAGCACCGAATCTATGAATTTTACTTACTTAGACAAATTCACGTGTAGTTGAATCCACACAGCGAAATCGCACAGCTACGTGTGTATGCACTAACATTTCGTTTATTTGTTTTCGTTTTACTGCAGCACAAATGTGCACTGTCGTCATCGCGTTTAATTCAATTAATTTTGAAGAAAAAAAAACACTATTTTTTCGGAGTTTCAAATGACAGCCACATCATTAGGGAAGGTGGAATTTTTTCGGTATAAACGCGTTCCGCTATTAAATAACCAATCATAATAAGCAAATGAATGACTAAGGTCATGTATTATACATCAACGGAACAGCGGTGAATAAACTGAATGAAATCTAAATGTATATTACGAAGTCAGCATAAACTATATACAAATAAAATCAGCGAGTTGACAAATGTGTGCATGTGTGCGGGTGATATTTTACACCAATAGCTAACTAGAATTCGTAGGCAAACGAATATGAGGCTCGCGTATTAGCAAATCAAATTCATAATCAAAACAATGAAAATTGCGATTTTAATATTTGCCTATTCGCATTTTTTTTTATTTGTGATCGTATGTGTGTGTATGTTGTTGTTATCTTGTGCACTTCTAGAGTTGAATGATACACGATTGAGTTACGCAATCGTGCTTTGTGTTCGGTTTTATGGTTTAATTTTAGCTCGCATAAAGTTCTCTGTAATCACAAATGAAGTTATAAAAAGCAATATCGCAATAAATGATATGTATTTGCTTTTTTTCAATTTATTTGATTGATATCAACCACGCTCTGCTCGCACTCCATTTAAAGCAATGTATTGGGTTTCGAGCACGCAGATATGCTGCTACCTGGTATCTCAAAGTTAAGCTGCTATAACGCATATGCTTCTTGCAAATGAAGAAGAAGAGGAAAGCAATGTCTTTACATAGGGTTGAACTTACAAATGTCAGAGAGCAGCACAACTGCAGTGTTCAAAGTGCGATTGCCCTTCGAGATCAACGCTACTCTGAAGTATGTAAACACAAAAATGAATCAAATAATGAAGTAGGAAACAAGTGCATAGAATCAAAAATGAATACCAACCGAAATACCCAAAATAAAATAAAACGGAAAATTCAAGGACAAAATTAACAAAAAAAAAAAATTTGCGAAATAAAGTGCAATTCAAGACGAAAAACAAATCGGATTTTTGTTATATCATTTTGCATACATTTGATTGAATTGCGGAAGGAAAAAAGTACAATATCACGTTATTTTAAGTTTATGATTATTCATCGATCATCTCTTTTTGCTTGCAAGTACAGCTCATTATTATAATGTGCCATGTAATTCACAAAAACAAGTGCCCACAGTTCGTATTTTCCCCCAATTCACATTTGCTGTGTCGGCAATTGAATCATTTGTGATATAATCATTGTCTGTTTGCAAACTATTAGCACAATTGAGTTGACATTAAACTTGTCCGCAGTGGAAGGCAATGAACAGAAAAAGAGCATGGCTTTAAATTACAGCACGAAAAATGTTTATTGGCACGTAGTACACAGTGTGAATAACAGACAAAAAACACATCAACAATAGGAGAAAAACGGTGGCGTTTGGCATTCAACCCAAAAGCCAAATGCCTAAGGCCTGAAGAAATACCGACGAGTCCAAAATGACGACGGCACACCAATAAAAACTAGCAAAATGGCCAAACACCATCCATGGTTACACAGATTTCTCGATGGAATTTGTGTAATTTTATGCTTACTTTCCGTAGGACCGTAACCTTGAAAAATAAAATGATTTTTTTTTTCATTGCTGCTGTTGCGGCTGTTGTCGTTGCGAAATGTTATGTTCCGTCGGCTATAGTTGCAACGTCTCGCAACAAAATTACCCATTTCTGTGTCAGTGTGTTCCATCATTATTACTCATTCCTCTCCTTGTTGTTTTGCTTCTTCTTTGTTTTTATATGATTTTTATACGTTGAACGCAATTACAGACAGTCAGCGCTCCGAGCGCACCGGAATGTAAATTCGCTTAGAATGAAAACGCAAGCAACTATATAAACAAACCAAATGGAGCTGGAGAAGAAACAATAAACAAATCTCATGCCTATACGCGCATATATGTAGGTTTTTCTTGTATGAATGAGAAGAGAAGTCTTACATTTGGAATATACACACAATTGGGGCCGTTGTTTGTTATTTCGTTGTTCTTTCTTATTTTCGTTTCGGTATCTGGTTTCGATCGTGTTTGTTTACACCATTTTGGCTATTTATTTATTTTAACATTTCGATTATTCCAAAGAATCGTCCAAACTGTAAACAGATTGTGTGCTAAATAGAACGGGTACATATAAAAACAAAAAAATACACTGACCAACCGAATTTTGGCATAAAAATTCCATCGCTTTTGTCTAACATGAAATCGAAAGTGAGCATTTTTTTCGTTTCGCTCTCTCATCTCGTTCTTGTTCATTCTCATAGATACACACTGTTGACACTGTTGTCAATTCATTTTATTTACCGTTATGTTGTACAACTTTACTAGTTTTGCACGAGAGAGAGAGAGGGGGAGGGGGGAGAAACAGATAACGCTACCATCTTTGCGTTCATTATTCATTGGATCAGCAATAACAATCGATTGCTGAAAGAAAGAAATAAAAATTGTTTACTCGACATTTTATTATGCCTTCATGAATGGAACACATTATTCATAGTCGGATGTTTTTTTTTATCGCATTTTCCGATTTCGATTATGCAAAATTGACTCCGCTTTAGGTCGAAATTCAAATAAAATCGAACAATGGATTGGCTTGCAATGAGTTTGTTTTTTTATTTCGATAAAAGTGACATGCTCAAATTTCATGACCGATGTGAATTCAATTCACATCCAATTGATTTGTTCAAATTGCAACGACAACGAAAAAAATAAAATAAAACATATTATCGCTTCCACATCCGAATCGTTTTCGAAAAAAATATTTGCATTCCTTTGTGATAAACATTTCAATCATTTACAATATTCAGAAAAAATACGATGTGAGTGAGATGAAAAAAAAAAATTCTGCATCTAAAATTATCCACACAAAAATATCCAATCGCACTGATGTCGAGAGAGCAAAGAGAAAAAAGGCCAATGTAAATAAAAGTACGCACACATGAATCATCGTTTGGTAGTTTTTTTTTCATTCTAAATGTATTTTATGCATTGTGTATTTCTTTTTTGTGAATTTTCGCCTTTTAATCACTTTCACACAGACAAACCAATACGCACAAATACACACATAAAACGATACCAGCCCATCAAGCGAATTCAAGTTGTTATTGCTCACGCAAGCCTCTTCATCTACTCTCCCTTTCCACGCCATCCTCTTTCTCCATCTCTCTCTCCGTCTCTCTCTCTCTCTTCGTAAATTTTGTTTATTTTTATTTCGAATAAGTTATCTCATTCACAGGCGATTTCTTCTTGAGCTCATCGTCAAACGACGTCGACTACGACGACAACAGCAACCACGCCGAGTAACATTCACAATCGCATGCCATTTAATGAGTCGTTCTCTTCACACTTTGTATGTTGTTTATTCTATAATGTTCAGAAACGCAATTCTCTTAACAAAATATATTTGTAACAAGCATTACGTATATTATATATACTTATAGATATATTCAATTTGAATGCAAAACAATATTTAATCTACGGCAAATTATCTATGGCAAATATTTTATTTGACATTTTTATTCTACATTGTATTGTGGTGCGTGTGTGTTTGTGTGCATTGTCGTCGAATGTACAATAATTTGTTTGTTGCCAAAGTTATCACTTATCAAATTTGCGCCTTTTTGCAGCCTATTATTATCACGAGATTTTCTTTTTATTCGTTGCAATAATATTTTCAATTCGAGTTGATAAGCAAATTTTTCGCTGCTAATGAAAAATGTATTTTTAGAATTTGTTTATCGTTTTTTCGCTGTGAATGCGGTTACATTGTTGTTAATATGGTTTGTTTGATAAGTGAAAAAGAACTTGATATGCTTCTCTGCTAATCATGTTTATCACCATGGCAATTATGATTATTTCATTGTATTGTTTTCACACCTTTTCATTCAGTTTTCTTTTGTTTTCACCAATCGATCCAAATCATTAATTTGCATTTACGAATTTGCATGTTTTCTTTCTTCTATTTCTTTTTACTTTTTATCATGCATTCAAATATAGACAGCACAAAAATACATGTAAGATAAAAAAAACGCAACGGCTTTAAACGGATAAAAATAGCGAAAAGGCAAAAAAGAACAATGCTCGTAAAAAACAATCGGTTTGCATAACGTAAACAACAACATTTTGTGCACGCACTACAATCGCTTGCAAGAAAGCGAAAAAAATAAACAGAAATGATTTTAAGAATTTCGTCGTTTTTTTTCTTCATTAATATGTAAATGAGCAGAGAGAAATAGCGAGAGAAGTGGCAGAAAAAAACTGTCGCGTAAAATAAGCACACATATTTAGAACTTTTTCGAAGCAAAATAAAAAAGCAACAATAATGCAAAAAAAAAAAATAATACGTTCAGAGTGTTGTTGGTCTGACCATAGCGAAGCTGAAAGAGTGGGAGATGCATGAAAATACGTTGTTATTTTTGTTTAATTTGTTGTTTTTCTTTCATTCTTGTTTCAATCGCGTTGCATGAAAAACAAACCAGAATTCATTTCAAACAAATGTCAATCGGTTTAACCGATTCGGTTAAGAGCGATTTTCGTTTTTATGTTCATCCATTCATATTTGCACATGCACACACACACACACAATAACATTCACCGTGACACGTTGATTATAAATAAATAGCGAGAAGAATGGCGACCGATAAAAGGCAATAAATTTGTTGAAAATGACGAAAATATGTAAACACCGGAGTGAGAGAAAAACTGTATCGAAGTGACTGCCAAATGAGCACAGAGGGAAAACGAAGAAAGAGAGAACAGAGAGAAAAAACATGTCAAAAAATTTATCATTTCGGCTGAATGAACAAGCGGCAGTGTCGCTGCATAACTTTTTATTTCTCGCTTGGCCACTGTGCATTGCAACATAAAAAAAATCGACGTACATACTGTAAATCAATCCATTTTTCATGATATCCATATACTCCAAGTGACTGATGCATTAATGCTTATGGAAAGCGATTATAGAAATGTAAATATCTCACACCTTGTGTATGCACAAACAAGCATTACGGCTGCTAATTACTCGGCAGATCGAAAGACCACAACACAAAACCAATAGTATCAAAAACAAGCGCGCTTAGTGCTTAAGTAATATTCAATTCGTGTATTTCGTGCGCGAGTTTGAAGCAAGGCAAACTCGCAAAACATACAAATTGTAATTGCGTTCCGAATTGGATACGTATCGACAACAAAGTTAAAATGCAACTCATAATAAATTTAAAGTGAAAAAAAAATGTATATATTTATATGAAGAGAGAGAAGAAGAAAATCTATTTTTAGTCTACGCTTCATTTATATTCGCAATCGTTGTCGCCGATTTTATGGCCAATGCGCGAATCAAGCGCGCGCCCATACACAATGCTGCTGTTGTTGTTTATAATACCACTGTGACTTCTACTTCTGGCCAATCTCAAATTTGCCATTATTCGTGTGCAATTTCTACCATTGAACAAACTTGAATAGATGCAAATTGTGAATGTACGCGGTCGTTGATTTCTCACATTTTCATAAGAATTTGACGGAATATATTATATATATATATTTCCTCTCTTTTGGCTCATTTTCAGCCGTTTTTTAAAAAAAACAAATACTTTGTTTAGTTTGCGTCTCTCGTTCAAATGGATTTGTTAAAAATGAGCAGCCATTAAATATAATCCGGTCTGTTTTCGAAGCGAGCGTAGAGAAAGAGAAAGAGAGAATAAAGTGTTATCATCGTTGCAGCCGCCGTCGGTCGTCATTCGTACGACATACGGCATGAGCAGCAAATACGTTTACCACCTGCATTGAGTTTTTTCTGTATCTTTTTCGCGCAAAACAAGTCCATAAATTAAATAAGTTGGCTGAATGCATGTATGCGAGCGCACACACCCACCAAAATCCATGAAATTAATTTTTATTTAAAAACAAATTGAATACGTGAGTTTTCGAAGCTTGCACAAAGTTATATATATATTGCCAGAAAGAAGAGAGAAAAAAAGACACGCACACAACATATGTCGATTTTGTCTGGTTTGGTCAACATATTTTGCAGTGAGTTTTTGCATGTATGTGTATGTGCAAGCCAAACTGTAAAAACTGGTTAAGGAAAATGTATTTGTGCGCTTATTTTGTAAAATTCATTTAGTTTGCTTAATATTGAAATTATTGAGAAGAAGTAAAATTAACAACAAAATAACCCGTTCAAATTCAATTCTTGCCCATTTCAATCGAATTGAGAATATTTGGACAAATAGTCCAATCAATTTGATTATCCAATATCATAAGCTCATTCAATCACCGTCAGACAATCGAAATGTCATTGTAGCAATCAAATGCAAATCTCAACCGATTTGATTGTCGTTGACAAAATGTCAAATATTTTCTCGATTTTTTAAATTTATTAACTGGTTTTTAATTACTAGTTTAAATTTCATGACCAAAACTGATAGACAGGTCATTTTAATTGAGATATAATTTATATTCAAAGAATCATTCTCTTGTATGCGCTTTTAAATTGATGAAACAAACAAATACATTTTGAGTGACTTCATCTCTTATTTTTCTTTTTCTTTTTCAGTTCACCACCACCGATCGATGGAAATACACATGGAAAATCTATACTAGCGCTAAAATGAGCGATCGTTTTGAGTTGATTCAATAGAACGACGGTTGTTGAGACTAAACACCACAGACATATAATAATAGTGAATTTTGTGGTCAATTCGAATGTGAATTTAAACACAATTGGACATTTGTAAAATGATTAGCAGTATCAGTCCGAACCACGGTGTTGATAGTTATTCGGTGTCGTATGCTCAGTTCAATAATAACGAGTACTTAAATGACAAGAATCTGAATTCGGTGCAAAGTGATCATTTGCAGCGCATAACAAAAAAATTCAGTGAACTGGGAAGCAAAATGGGGCCAAGTGATATTAATTGCGATTCAATGGTGGTTGCAACGCGTAATGATTGGTCTCCGGATACGGCAAATAAAATGACAAATGACGAACGATTGAGCCCAAGTACTGAAGATTCTGATTCAAGCGGATCATTCAAGCATGGCATTGATCATGCTGCAACGTTGATTGATAAAAACGACGAAAAACCATTGCCTGATCATCATGCGCGGCGACCAATGAATGCTTTTCTGATTTTTTGCAAACGACACCGGGCAATTGTCCGCGAACGATACCCAAACTTGGAAAATCGGTAAGCTGGAGAACTATTTCAATGTGTTTATGGAAATCCAGTTTTGAGTTGAGTTTTTTTTCTAAATATTTCTTTTTTCTATCAATTTTTTATTTTGTGCAGGGCAATTACCAAGATTCTAGGAGATTGGTGGGCTAACTTGGACGAAACCGAGAAAAGCAGTTACACCAATTTGGCCAAAGAAGTGAGTAGCTTAAAAGTGTTTGGGAATGACCTTTTTTTCAATTTCTTAAAAAATAAATTTAAAAAAATCGTTCGTCCCTAGTACAAAGATGCTTTTTTCAATGCAAATCCGGATTTTAAATGGTATAAATTACCAGCACCACCAATTCGTACTGGTTACCAACGAATGTGTAGCAATGATCGTCAGAGCAGTTTTTCGGATGAAAATGGTTCCGAGTGTGACATATTGTCGGCAAAAATTCCAAAGCGACATGAAAACTCAACGGTTACCACATTCAAACTGGCTGATGAAGCACAAATGGGCGGTTTAAGCAGTTTAATGGTATCAAATGAAAATGGAAACGGAAAATGTGCAAACAATAACGACGACAAATTCATCACTAACAACATGAAAATTGGTGATGGTGACGCTGAAAAGGGTAATTGATAAAACAATTTTAAATTCATTTTATCGTTCAATCGTATTAAAAACAATATTTTATTCTCCTTTGCTGCAATAGACGGCGATATTTCTGATTTAAAGGATGAGTTGCATCGTGTGTTGGGCGAGACTCGTTCATTTTTACAAACCACAATGAAAGAGTACGAGAATTCAGATGAATATTCATTTGATTCAAATGCGACGACCAATAACAACATTCCACGAAAATCGTTCCACAGCAGCAGCAGTACAGAAATGAAAAATTTCGAATTCGATTCACCAGACGATGATGTAAATGGTTATGATTCGGTATTCGGGCCGAAAAAATCGTCACGTGCATGCAAGGGAAAGCGTTATATGGAATTCATGAATGCCCAAAAATTGAATGTGATTGGCAAACGAACAAAACCACGTACAACATCAGCCTCATCATCGTTGTCATCATCGCCAACTGAACAATCCCATGCTCATCATATGCACTCGCTCAAGAAATCAATAAGCTGTTCTCAGGCTGGCCAAAAATTCGATTATGATCACACATTCGATCATTTGTATGCAAATCACAGTGCAATCATTTTGCCATCGACTGCAGCCATAAAGAATGAGACTGATGCCGTTGACAAATCGATTGGCAGTGAAAATCCATTGTCACCGAACGAAAGTCGAAAATTCGATGTTACCGAATTTGAATTGGATCAGAAGATAAACGCACTGCGTCCTCATAATCTCGATGAATATTTGGTTCGAAAGCAAGATACCAAAAAGAAGAAGAAAGTCAATGACAAACGTTCATCGGGCAATGGATATCGTAAAGTTCATAAGGTTGCCAAAACAAAAGCAAAACCATCGACAAATACTGCACACACAGTGACAGCATTGAAAACATCTAAAGAGGCCAAAGCACAGCTTGCAATAGTCGGTAGCCAAAAACGAAAAGCACGCAAAGAGAGCATTACACGTCGTGATGTTCAACAAGTCACCGCGTTTGTACAAAGTTTTTCAGCCGCACTGGAACCACAAAATTTCATGCCAATGACATCGGTGTCGGTACCGATATCGATACCATTCACCAATCTTTCACAAAGCACCACAAATCGAAATTCGGGTCTTTTAATGCTGGCCACAATGGCTGAAGTGGCTGCCGCCAATTATGCCGTTTGATTTTCCGATCGAATTTCAAATGCTCAAAACGTAGAAGAAGAAAAAAAACACCGTACATTTTAATGTGAAAGAGAAAAAAGAAACATAGAAACCTCATCATCATGCCTCGACTCCATCATGTGTCAAATGGTCACAGCAAAGCTGTGATTTCAAAAAAACAATTCGATATTTCGCTAATGAGTGAAATTTTTATTAAACGAATTAGATATATACCATATATTGCTTAAGAATCTATCGTATGAATGTAGGTGATCAAGAGATTTTCGACCGCTCCATTTCTTTTTTGAACAAATATTTTATTCCAAGCAAAAAACTTTTTTTCTATTTTTCCCTCACAGAATGTGCCATTGTGCCTACACATCGAACATATTTCGCAAAACAAAAATAAAATACGCGAATCACGATCATTTCGTTGAAGAATGAATACAAAGCATTAGATTTACAAAAGAAACATACTATATGTCAATTATTATCACGTCATTTGAAGAAACTACAAACAATGAGAGATATTTATGTACTTTCATTTTCCATTTTGATATGCAAAAACTTTTTCTAGAATACTTCATATAAATCGGTTCATGCTTGATCACAGTTGAAATGAACACAAGTCTATGTATTGCTTCACCATTGTCTTGTTTTATTTTTTCGTTTTTAATTTTTTTAAATTTATTTATTGATATCATCGAAGCGAGATAAAGAAAAGGTTTTTCAGTCATATTATTTTTTCTTCTTCTTCTTTAGTCTATCATTTGTTATGAATATATCATTAAACTTAAGTTGATGAAACCCAATTCTATTGAAATAATCACAACGAGTGCCTTATTGAAAAAGACACGTCATATTATATTAGAATGTAAGTGATTCAAAAATTAAAAATTTTAATTTGTTACAAAAAAAATTATTATAGTACTTTCCACTTGAAATGATGAAAATATAATTTTTTCAAATGCATTTACCACAATATTGACGCTTTTTATTCGAAATTTCACTGAATTTAAATGTCTTTTTAATAAATCAATGCGTTTCATACATCGACAGAAATGGTATTCAAGTGAGTAAATTGCCTATTATGATTTGTTTAAGGGAATGGTAAGTAAACTTTGGAGTTGACAGCAATTTTGCTCTAGCCCTAACCCTCTAATGAAATAATTTTTTTTTCGACATGAGAACTATTTTTCTTTGAATATTTTGGTTTAAAATTCCTTTAAAAAATAATCGAAATTCAAAAAATTGCATAGTTTACTCAAAAAATGCTGTTGACAAAATTGGAAAACAATCGATTCCATTATATAAACTGCTATAAAATTGCTATAAACGAAGAGAGATAATTTGTTTTGTCAAATTATTGTTTTCGCGTACATCTGTGTTTATAATTAAACAACCGTTTTATATTCACTTGTCAAGATGACCAGCAAATGAAAGCTTGGACCCTGCTGAATATATTTTAATTCATAAATAAAATCATTTGTTTTTTATTATATATTTTAGACAATAATTTATACACTAGAGGGTTAATATCGTGCTGTTTCATCAAATTGTCAGCTATTATATTATTATAAATCATTTTAAAGTGTGAATTTTCTAACTATTGATAAAGTGTCTGCTCTATTTTTCTTTATTAAAAATGAAATATTCATTCACTTTTGAATTGAAAATTCAAATCATAAATCCTTAATCGTTGTATATTTTCCTTGTCGAATGAAAAGACTTCTGTTTTGATAAATACTTCAAACCATTCATAATTTCAGCGGTTATGATTCCATAAGAAAATAAACATTACAATCACTTTTACTATTTTATGCATATATAATCGGCTGTGTTTGAGCTTGCATCTTTAGAAGCGATGAAATGTGTGCAGTTTTTTTTTCTTTCTGTGCTTGAAATAGTACATAAATATTTTGTGTTTATTGACTTCGTCAAAACGATAAAAATTAGTGAAAGCATTCAATTTGTCAGAAATACATTTACAGACACATAAATTTATATATAGGCGTGTGTCAAATGCCATCAATAAAAAATGATTTCTTGATCCTTTGGGTTTGTTTTTTTATTTGGACAGGTTTCTGAATAGCATGTAAAACGAAACGGCCGTGTTCATGAACTGTTCGTATAAAAAATGAAAGGAAATTGAAGAAATTAAAAAAAAAATGATTTTCATAAACTTGAGTCTCTCAAAGCGGAGCTTTCTATTTCATGTTTGACTGTAATGATTCAATGCGAGCAGCTGTTATTGTGAAGTTATAAACGAAATATATTTTCTTTTTGCTTTGATATTAATATAATGTGATTTACGTAATAATTTCAAAATAGACCGAGCATAAAATTTAGTCAAAAATGAATTTTGAAATTAGTAAAATTGAAATAAATGATTTAAAATGTTAAAAACACTTACTCGGGCGTAATTTTGAAGGGAACACTTGGTAAGTCGATAGCCGGTAATGAAAAATAGCCGTTGCGATCTTGATATCATGAAAAATGGGTAAATTCTCAAAGCCAAAGGATATTCATAGAATTTTGAATGATAAGCAAATTCACCCACTTGTTCACATTTCGACGAGATCAAATGACCATAGAAACAGTACACAAATAGCCAAACGATGATCAAAATATTAGAGACAGTTGATTGAAATAGATTAAAATCTAGGTTCTTGTTAAAAATATTAAAAATTCAAATATTTATTGACTGACGAAACATCAAAGTAAATAAAAAATCGATTTAATTTGAAGCAAATTACCATGTATTGAGCTAATGATGTGGATAACCAAATTGTACCAATACTGAATGTCAAGAAGATCACACCGTCCATTAAATTAGCAAATTTCTCGATGAAGCTAAGTGAAAATGTAAAGAATTTTGTGTTAAAGTCTAATTCATTTTTAATTTATAAACATTACCTTAATATTTTTATGTGAAAATTAACTGCTTTCAATAAGATTCTTTTCAAAGCATATTTTTTAATATCGCTTTCCCAAAGGTCATGATCACCATAAGTTATTAACAGCGATTCTATGTCTTCAAAAAATGTTTGTATGTCATTTATGCATATTTCGACATACCAACACACCCCTATGTAAAATGTGTTTATTCCACAAAATACAGCACAAAATTTCCAGCCGGCCATTGCTTGTATGAAGACACCGGTAAGAAATCCATACACCGTATCTCGATCGAAGGGGAATGTTACTTTGAATGGCCAAAATAGTCGATCGGCTCGAAGATCTCCACTCAACAGATAAACGAAAGCAATGAACAATGGCATCAGCAGTACTATTGAGCACATGCCAGTTATTAAAATTGTAAAATGTCTTGTAAATTTTGAAATCTTCATTTCGACAGCTTGATATCTCTTAAAATAAGGACTGTGCGATCCTGATGATGGAATTTTTTAAACACAATTAACTAATTTTCTTGAATTAAATAAATAAATATTTTTAATTCAAATGTTCTTACTTGAGTCGATAATTTCTTGTAAGTCATTTAAAACCAATATAAGTGATGTTTGTTTGGCCAAGAAATAGCAGTACATTCCAAAGCTGATGCTGAGCAAATGAATAATACAATGAACAACTTTTAACGTTTTCGAGGAAATTCTTACGTACCTAAACGATGTAATCCCATACATTGAATCAGTGCCTTTACGCAGATTTCCAACATTTTGAATGAAATACACAATTGCAGGTAAAACAAGGAATAATTCAATAGAACCAAAAAGCCCGATCTTTATACTCTGTACGATATTTGATCGTTTTTTAAATCTCAATAAGTAAATATTTTTGAAAAAAGTGCGATTTGATTGCAGCACCAACATCTTCCAATCTATGAAGCACACAAAAGTACACAAATAGCGTGTATAGTCAGAACTGTCGAGTGAACAACAAAATGTCCAATATTTATACTAGGTGTTTGAAGATTCATAACTAACAATTATCAAATTATTTGGGCGTCTAAGTCTAGAAACTTTCTTTACATTTGCTTTTAAAAAATGTATGATCATCGTCCAGAATATGTTTATTTAATGAATATGTTGAATAACATTTACTCTCTTTAAATTTCATTTGAATAATGGAAACGAAAGTAAAATTGAAAATTCCACTTGCTCAGTGCGTTGATAAAAATAGCAAGAGAGTCGTTATTTTTCCGTTGTTTGCAGACATCATCAAAATAAAAAGATAAACAAAAACACCGCGGGAGACAGAGCCTCGTTCGTCATAAAAAGTTTATTTATGCATTGTTTGACATATCCTTCGTTCAATGAACACATTTTTTATCATTAAAATGTGCCGAGTCTACATCAAAGCCTACAGTGAATGACTTTGAGTAATTGGAAAACTGGATAGCAATCGAAAAGGAATACATGTGTGTGTAGACAAGTTTGGGTAAAATAATTGCTAAATGACCGAAGACTAAACACTGATGCGGTTCGGTTCAATCGGCATCTGTGTAAAATGGGATGGAAATGATTTTTCTCAGCATTTTTAACTTGTCGATGTTCTATTTTCCGTGATTGCTTAGTTTCTAGTGTGTGTCAGAAACACACGTGAATAGCATTCTCACCGCTTTTTCACGATGAAAATTTAGCGTCTGTGCATGAGCGAGAATTTGTGCGCCGAATCGGATAAATTTCATGCGTTTTCGTTGGAAATCGTGCTCGTCAAACGATCTTATAACACTTGAAAGCAGTACGCACAAGCATCGTAGACTATTTTTTCTTGATTTTAAAGTTAGTTCAGTTCGTGATCTCGTCGATTGATACGCGTTTTTAACTGATTTCCCTCACTTGGATGGTGTTTTATCTGTACGCATTCAATATTTCATCAACAAACTGATTCTTAAATAAAGTAGTAAACGTCAAAAAAATAAAACACACGCAACTCGCAGAAACTGTGTTGAACAAATTTTTCATATGTTTTGGTCATCATTAAATCACAAAACGTTTTTTATTTTTCTTACGACTCTTCATGTCGACGGTGTTGGAGTCGAAAACGTGTCTGTGTGTGACTTGAAAGATTTATAAACTTGTTAGCGATAAATTTAAACAGAATTTTTTTGTTGGTTGGCCGTGTGAATAAGTGAACCGAATATTAATTGGATTATATGGTGCACGACGTGTTTTGTGGGCTCTTTTTTGTGCTTGCTACATGAATCCGAGGTTTGCGTAAGATTACGGCAAATTTCTAAACATGAATATCGTCCGATAAAAATAAGCACGAACAAAAAATCGAAGTGAAAAAAAATTATAGACATTTTTTCCAACCAATTGTATATGATTTGCCATGTGTCAGTGAATTTACTATTACATCGTTCATGCAGTGTTCATAAACTCAAAGGAATAAGGAATCGAATCAAAGCCCGATTCTCCCGATTTTTTGTATGTTGTTGTTATTGCTTTCCAAAATGTTGATTTCATTTAAATGGAATTGTAAAATATCGAGACGCACACAATATGATTAAATGCAAAATGATGGTTAATGGTGTTTGCATAAAACTGACATGAATTACAAAATCAATAATGCTATTGAACAGTACGAGATTCATTTGCGTAAGTTAAACTTGAACTGAGTTGGTTTTACTGCATTCTCGTTTCACACGATCCGTTGAATACAATAGATTTTTGGCATATTTAATTATTATTTTGTTTATCATTGATCAAAAGTGAGACACATACAGAGATAGAAAGACGTAAAATATAAAATTCACCACGATGCCTTCCAATACTGGTGGTTATGTGGAAAAAATCCCAAAACAACGCGGTCGCTGCACAAGTTGCTTATGTATGTCATGGAAAGTATTCACGTGTATTTTTTCACATTTTTTACTCATCACATCGGTGGTCTCATATTGTTGTATGGGATCGTATTTATTCCAATGGCTCGAAGCCGATTATGAGAAAGATGTATGTATTTAAAATAAAATATTCAATGCCATTCCCAAACATATTTATGATTCAATCATTGTTTGTTTTTTCCTTTGAAATTGACAGATGAAAAGTCAAGTCAAATTTATTCGTGGCAATTTTTCGCTTCAATTGTGGGATTATACACAAGGAGAATTATATTTGCTAGAAGTCAATTGGACGAAGCATGCATCGGAGATATTACTTGATTTCGAAAATAGTATTCTTGAGAAAATGAAACGAGAGGGATGGGATGGAGTTGAAAATCCAGAACGATTGCAATGGACACGCATGGGTGCATTATTCTATTCTATAATTGTCATTACAACGATTGGTAAGGAAAACATTTTTTTAACTTAAATTATCATTTATTGATTATTATTTGGTGCATCAATCATATTATACTCTTAATGACTATACAAATGAAATTTCAATAACGCAACTTCGGTATATACGGATTTGTAAATTGTACCGCATTTTATACAGATCACAGTTATAAATTACAGAAAGAATGATTGAAAAACAATATTCTATACATATATAAATGGAAATTGATTTAAATTAAATTCGACTTTGTTGAACAAAGAATGGATATGCTTTGTTCCTTATACAAACTAAACGTATTCGTTCCAAGTCTTTATTTGTTGGACTTTTTATCGAGTTCTCTGCCTTTTGGGTCGTCGGCTTCGGCATCGGCAAGAATACCCGACCCAGCCTTACTGTTAAATGGAATAATACCATTATTTTGTGGATAACCGTTACCATATGGTGTGCCGTAATTATTATAAAATCCATTATTATTAAATCCATAAGGATTTCCGACTCCGCCAAGGCCGATGCCATTGCCACCGAATGGTAATTGGCCAGGACCTGCATAGTTTGGTGGTCGTCCATATAAGCCTGTTGGCCCTCCAGGTCCAACTAAAACTCCATTTGCCGCACTATTCCCCAATGGGTTGTAGCCTCCAGGATAACGATTTGGCCCTCCGCCCAGACCAGCTAAAAGATCAAGCAAATCAACTTTGGTACCGACGAATACATTAGTTTTGGCTGATGAATGAATTTTTTGTTCAATTTTTTTTTTTGCTCAAATTAAAATAAATCAGATAAAATGATTGATTTGATTTTAAAACGGTATAAAATTCATAATTGGAATGCGAAATAATTAAAAATATATTAACGTTAACTTACAACCACCTCCACCACCACCACCACCACCAATACCGCTGCCAGGATAGAATTGGCCGCCATTGCCGTAATTCGGTGTAAAACCAGGCCCATAACCTCCGCCATTTGGATAGAAATTGTTATTAAAACCTGGCTTGAAGTTATTTGGCTGATAACCTAAACAAAAATCATTTTAATGCATTTCATTTAATTATAAGTTGTTGTTTTTTTTTCATACCAAATCCGGGATTATATGGTCCGTTCGCTTGATTTCCGTACAATGGATAATTGTTGAAATTATTCGGTCCACCTCCTAAGCCTTGCGGAGCATAAGCACCAAAACCATTGCCATGGTATCCATTACCGCTAAATAGACAGATGAAATTGAAATGCTTGTTTAGTTTAAATTGAGTGAACAAGATATAAATTCTCAAAATCGAATGAATATGATATGAAAAAATAATAATTATGTGCTATTACATGTTGTTTGGTCCATTGAAACCATAACCACCGCCACCGTTAGCGCCGCCTACGCTAAGACTATTCCCATAAAATTCATCAGCTTGTGTGTTTGGTTTTCGCGTTGAATATTCGCTCACTTCATATCGATCGCTAAATTAAATTATGCACATGTTCATCAATTATAAATCATAATTTTCGGTTTCACTTTGTTGTAATTTATTTCATGTGTAATTAACATAAATGAGAGTTTTTCATTCGAAAAAATAAATGGAAAACTGTACACTGGCCGTATGTTTATTGCTTTTAAAATAGAAAATCATTTTTCTTACCGAAAATCCTCCAAACTCTCATATTTTCGACGATCAACGGTGGGTCGATCACGCACACCCTCATTATTATTTCGATTTTTCGATGACCAATTCCATTTCGATTCTGTTTGTGCATCGACATTTAGCAGTAGACACAAACACGAAATTACTGTGACACCTAATGAAAGCAAGAGTCGGATTTATTTTTCAAATTGAAAAAAAAAAATCAAAGAAAAAAGCTAAGAAAATAATTCACACCTTTCATCATATTAAACACTTTCGTCGAAATATAATGCTATTTGCTTTGTATACTATTTTATTGTTCACTTTATAATTCCCAAAAAGCACTGGATGGTTGTTTTTTTCTCAGGTGTTGACTGTCCCGCGTTCTAAACAAAACTGATCTCTCTTAAGGAAACGCATATCTTCTTATAAGAGATTAAATGGCATAGGTGGCCAACAGACACACACACACACACAATCGTGGTCGATTGCATTCGTTTCATTTGCGAGTTTTTTTTTTGTTAGTGACTATTTTCGTGTGTACGGCGATTCAAAGTTAATAAACCTTGAATGAAATCGCTATTTATACGACATATTCTTTTGAATGAGCCGTTCATTCGTCTGTTTTGACTTATATGTGCTGCGTACGCGTATTTTATTCATCGCATTCGCATCTCGTGTGTGTACACATTTGACTCACACTCCAGTTCACATGCAATAATACTGACAATGTGTGTATTTAGACGGCAAAAGATAGCCATTATTTCATTTATTTATTTATTTTTTCGTAACGGAAACCAAATGCAAAGAATTAAAAATGGGCACAGCAAAGTCAACCGAATATTGCTAACAACCGAGATAAGAAGTGAATGAAAAAACACGATTGATCAAATAGATGGAAAAATAAAAGTGGTTTTCTGTAGTTAGTACATTTGGAATGGCATTCATACATGACAATTTAATGGTTTAATTTTCTAAGTGAACACGATCTCGCCCCCCAAATAAAAATCAACTCTTGCGCAATGCACATCGTCATTTTCCACAACGTCAATTAATCAGAGAGACGATTATATTCATGTTAAACAAAGTTAGCATATGAAAATGATACAGTCACACTTTTCGATTTTATGGAAAGAGAGGAAAACGAAATTAAAGACGCGAAAAAGAAATTCACTTTTTGTGTATTAAGATTTTGATGCACATATTTCGTTTAACGAGGCCTTATGTAATTGAACAAGTGCTTAACATATATTAGTGCTGTCGAAACAACAACAATGAAGAAAAGTATCAAAAAGTCATTAGAGCCAAAGCGTGGCGCATTTTCAATGAGAACAGGCGTCAACGCACAAGCAATGGCCGCTAATAAGCGTTTACAATTGAATGACAGTCTCATAAAACGAAAAATAATTTTACAGCAAACTACAGATAGAATAATAGCACGATAGAGCTCTAGAGAGAGATAGTGAGAGAGCAAGAAAGGGGGGAAAGAGAGAACTTAAGTTAATACTGTTTATTCGAGTAGCAAACATTTTGAAAAGCATATCCGGTACACAGACCAGCACATTTTGTGAAAATTACTGTTTGCAGGAAAAGTCGTTATCGTCGACAAATATAGCGGCATCGAATAATAATATTAATTTAACGGTAAATTTATTACCATTCTGTCTATCTCTCTTCCTCGCTCCCTTTGAAAATAAAACTTGAGAAATGAAAATGATGAATATAACAAGACTGTCTGTTTCGGACGCATAGAATCCCACTTTCCGTGATTCGGATCAACGAGTTGCCTCATTGAAAGATGTGAAATTTGTCGTCAAGAAAAAACGCACAAACATCAAAAACAAATATGATACACATAGTCGTCATATCGTTATTGAATCCATATTGATTTACATAGAAATAGTCATTCGAAGTTCTCCCCGTTTGCTAAATAACACACGCACTCCCACGCAAACAAAAACAATGCTTCTCTCGCTCATCATTTATATAATAGATGTGGTAAATATGCGTCAAAAACACTTTAATTTTATTTGTAAGTTATAAAATTTATTCGCTTGGCCGCCGGTCAATCACACACTGACCCCATCCATACACAATGTTGTTATTTTGCACATTTTTTTCTACACAAACACAATTTTGCATCGACAAACGGCGAAACAAACAAAACGATTAAAAGAATGCAAATTTAGAATTACATTCAGTGTCACAAACACACACACGCACACAGGCAAATGATGAAATGAAAACTGTAAATCATCGATTTTGTTTATTTTTCACAGAAGATGTGATAATAAGCCAAATACGAGTCATCCATCATGACTGAAAAGACTACAGCAATAGCCTTCACCCAGATTCCACCTACACACCGTTCTACTGGAAAAATTTTTGGGCAATCGCACTATTCGCCACGTGTGTAGAGCGTATATACACCTCTGTTCGTCAACGACAGTTCAATGATGATAGTTATTTTTGCTCATTTCAACGAGAGTGAGAACACAACTATTATAATATACTAACATATTTGAAATGAGAATGTAAATATTGAGACATAATTTTGAGGCTAAAACAGAAAACAATTTCCAAACGATGGTATTAACTTGACACTTTCAAGTATTTTTTCAATACTTCACTTCATGTCTAAGGTCAACCTTTCACTTTTCAACTCATACAAGCAAAAAGGTTTGAAAGTCATAATTGTTTTCCGCATTCATTCAATCGATTCCTTCTATTTTGTTATTGACTGACTCATCCACCGATTTTAACACACACACACATACGATTCATCGTTTACTTCCGTGTGAATTTATTCACAATGCTATGCCATTTTCGATGGAACTATAACGTCTTTTTTCGGCCAATTTTGATCAAGTCTTGAAGGCCTGTGCAATCACTGACCGAATGACACATTAAAAAGCCAAAGATCTTTGAACCGGTTCAAGATTGAAATTGAGCCGCACTTTTATGAATAAATATACTTCCATGTATTGATACAATTTGGCTGAACTTGAACACATTTCATCTATAATCACCCACGGATGACTTTGTTTTTTCGATTCTCTTTTTTTACATAATTTTGATATACTCTTTTTTTACATCGCTGAGTAATTTTGTGACTGTCACATTTTGTGTAATACAAAAAAAGAAAAAGCATTGAGAGCCAAAAGAATGAACTCATGAAAGTTTAATCACATTTCCTTGATCTTATATTGGCTTATTATTTAATGAAATAGTGGAAAAACCCATTTTAAATATCGGTTCTAAATAAATTCTTTTTTTTTGTTCAGGCTACGGGCACATTTCGCCAAAAACGGACGCCGGAAAAATATCAACAATTTTTTATGCGATCGTCGGCATTCCGTTGATGTTACTCTGTAAGCAAATGCAGAAAAGTCAAGTTACAACTTTTAATTTTATTGTAAAATGGTGTATTTTTTATCATTTAGGTTTATCTAATATAGGCGATATTATGGCTAGCAGTTTCAGGTTTGTTTGTTTGTTTTAGGTACTATCCCATAGTAAAACAATCAATTTATTTGAACAATTTGTTTGTGTTCTTAAGAAATGCCAAAAATAGATAAGTTAAATGTGTGTATTTCTATCATTAAGGTTTATTTACTGGCGTATTTGTTGTTTTGTGTGCACTCGTGAGCCAAAACGACGTCCACGGCGGTCAGAATTTCAGCGATCGATTTCTCATAATGCGTCTGCACGTTTCTCGAATCGAGCCAGTATGCGTCGATCAGTTCGTGTGTCGCAGCGCACACAGGATTCTGGCATTGATTCATATTATGATCCAAGAATGTCGCACGCATATTCAGATACGGATTTGAGGTAGACCCCATGATTGCATTTCTCCCGATGATTTTATAGTTTTTTTTCGCATTAGATATGGTGGTGATGATTTGGTAACAAAAAGACCGTCACACAATCGAAGTCAACGATTTAGTCGTTACAAGGAAAGAGATCGCCTACGCCGTGAACGCCACACAGTTGAACGCGAGCGAATGGTTGATCGACCATCAAGAAGGTGATTTTTTTCCATTCAAAAGATGTTTCTTTTGAAATTAAATGTTATCTCTTCAGTAGTAGACATAACACCCAATCATTGGATAGACGCTCTCAAGCGCGTGGCCAGAGTCAAAGATCGGCCCGAGCACATTCGATGTCAAGATATGAAAATAACCATCATCAATCGAAATTTGTGCCCGATGTAAATGTTCGCGAATACACAATGACACTGCCAGCTTCGCGAGGTCGACATCGATCACGGATTAATGGTACAAATATTTATCAAAAAAGTCATGAAAGAAGAGAACATTAAAAAAAATCTTTGCCTTTTACAGAAAAACGAGCACAATCCGTCGAACCACGAGCATTAGGTGATGTGCCAATTTTGTGCAATAAATATGCGATCGACGATTTCATTCGAAGAGAAAGTCTGACAGAAGAGCGAGAACAACGACAGCATAGAGATAATTATCGTTCACGGTCAATGCCTCGATCGCAGATAAATCGAAAAAATCTATATTCACCGTCACGTGAAGCATCGCCGGAGCCAATACCAAAACGTTTGCAAGCAAGTGAGCGAAAACGATATCTGGCACCACCTTTACCTCCAGATGTGCTCGATGAAGAAGAGTGCATTGAATTAGAGGTGCCCACAAGACGGCACAAGAAACGTGAAAAACGCGAACGAAAAGAGCTACCACCAAGTCCACGTATAATGAGTCCAATGGGTTTTGCAATTCACAGACAAGCCCGATTAATGGAAACATTCGATGAGGAAGCCGGTTACGAAGATGATTACGTTGATCATGTTGCAGGCGATACACCGGTTCGACCTGTACCGATTTGGCTTTGCGTTTTTCTTGTCATCGGTTACATAATAGCCGGTGCATTCTATTTTACGCAAACGGAGGAGTGGACTTTTCTAGATTCCGCCTACTTTTGTTTCATCACACTGACGACCATCGGATTTGGAGATTTCGTTCCAGCACGCAGTATTCAAGACTTAAATCAGACGAAATTGACGGAATTGACGGAATTGACGGTATCCACGCACAACAATAGTCTTTTCCTAACAGAACAAGAAATTAAAATTGCCGGATGTTCGTTGTATTTATTATTTGGTATGACCCCCTTTCATCCTTTTCACTTTTACATCAGTGGATTTTTGAATTTGTTCTCTTCATTATTTTAGGTATAAGTTTGCTCGCAATGAGCTTCAACCTCGTTCAGGAAGAAGTAATTGCAAACGTTAAAAGTTTTGGACGAGCACTGGGTATACTCAAAGAAGAAGATTCTGATTATTGAAATTGAATCGAAATTGCATTTAAATAGTTAGAATCTAACCAGATTTTTTTAAGTTGAAATTAATTCGGAAGATTGAAAGGTGTTGTTGAAAGACGAATCGAAAAATTGTATGACACAATCTGGAAAGATTTATGTCAATTTATGACAACCTTTGCTTGAATTAGGCTAACTAATTTATTTTTAAGAAGAAGAAAAAACATAGAAATGAATGATGGTTGGCTAATTTGAAGCGGTTTGGCGCCTTTTCGATTCATTTTATCACGAAAAGCAACACATATAAATATTGATGATATTATTTAATGTGAATCTTAACAGTTAACACACAAACAGATCTAAATTTAGCAACTGAACACGTTGCACAGCATCATAAAGTGAAATTTGGCAGCTAACAAAACATCACAGTTAATTTATTATGTATTTTTCAAAATATAGACAACATTTCCATTTGGCTTGGAGAATAGTAAAGGTGCTCTTTCGTGCGCATATCTCATGTATAACTAAAACAACTCTCGCTCTGATAGTAATTAATTTATTTATTTATAGAGTTGTGGTTTGAAAGGCCATCTAATAAATTCAACGAAATAAAAATTCAAACATTTCATTGTGAATCATTCGCTAAATACTTTGAATTCTTTTTATCTGTGAATGTAGTAGGAGAAAATAAATAAGAGAATTTGTAACAATTTTAACATTGTATTTTTGTGTTAGTCTGTTAGAAATGAAAATATGTATCAACTGAAGTTGTATTTAGGATGAGTCTAGGGGGTAGACACATGGAATATTACTTGAGATATTCACCGAAATTGAAGGTATTCTTGGTATTCTTGGTATTCTCAGTTTTAGATGAAATGTCAATGCATTCAGCAACGTCTCACAATGTGCATATATGAATATTATCTTCCAAATATTAAAAAACTTTTTCAACGCTATTAAGTGTATTATTTCAATTGTTTTAATAAATGCAAAAACAATTTTGATAGAAATAACAGGAAGAAAACAGAAAAGATTAAAATAAATTTCGAAATGGTAATGTTAAAACGAAATGCAAAAAACTTGAAATCTTTATTACCGATATCAATTTGACATTTGGTAATCACGGTATTCACATTTTTAGTACAAGTAATCTTCAAATAAGTAAGCAATTGTCGTATTTGAAAATAGATAGGTATTATGACAATTCATTGGTATTCATTCATTCTCTATTGTGTCTACCCCCTAGGGATGAGTAATAATAGAGATATTGAATGTTGGCACTATCACGTACAAGTTTGTTCTTTGAATATGGTCATGAAACATCCAGAGATGTTATAGGTATCGCAAAGGTGAGAGCATGCTTGTTATACTGGGAAAAATTCTTTTGAATAGTTGTGGGCACTTAGATATATATTATTTCGCATAAAAGTGGAAGAAAAAAATTGAAAGTTCTGAAAAAGGATCTGAAAAATATTTCTTGGGTGGCACATCACATTTCAAATTTCAGCTATATAAAAAATTATATGGTCCTCGGTTTATGGTCACTTTCAAATTTTCTTCTCAAAAATTAAAATTACTATTTGCTTTCACTTATTCATATGTGGGTATATATGTATCCGTTTTAAGTATTTATTATACAATTATTTAAACCTAGTCCCAAATTTCGAATTTCACATGAGCGTACATTTGACTATACTTCATTCGACTTAATGATAGGCTTTGTGTTTAATTTGATAAAAGTGCTTATTTGAGGATTTTAAACGTTGAAAAATAATTGTGGAGGGCAATTGCCAAGGCAAACGATGACCTGATTTGGATGAATTAGAATTCAAGTGCGCTCATTTTTTTATTAAAAAACGAATAGTTTTTATTAAGTGCTATGGTATTGTTTTAGAAAAGGCAAATTGTTAAAGGTAAAATAAAGTCACTTTTTAACCGAGTCAATATTTATTTAAAGTTGTCATTTTCATTTTTTTTTTCAAAACTCGCACAATTTTAGCTTTTACATGGATTTAATCACCATCACGATGGAATACGTAGTTTTCAAAATCTGTGAAAGATTGGATACTAATTATATTGACTCATATTATTAGGATTGATGATATAGCAACCTTGAGTAATGTTTGAAAACTTAATTCAAATCGTACAACGCCAACGGCGGAAATTTTCATTTCGCGTGTGGACGTTACCATCATCATCTTCAATAGAGCTTCATTGGTTTTTCTGTCAAATGCAATGAAATTACTTGTATAAATACCGCGATGTATGCCTTCAAACTAAAAGACGAAATTGAATTTTTATGATTGATTTTGGAACTTTGTTGAAAATCATACCGCATATATGATATTATTGCCAAAAAAGCAGTATATTGACATTTCGGCTAAAAATGCAGCCAGCCAAAATAAGGGAACAATGAATTCCACGAACGTCAAGTCATACTACAAAACAAATTTCATTAATTTTACGCTGTTTATTTTCGTCTATGTGATTCAATTTTACCCCAATTAAAAGAACCAATGAGTTTGCAAACACAAAAACCGCCTGGACAATTTGAAAAAACATCATATCATTGATCAATGCATTCATCTCATGAACGAACCTAATTAAAAAAAATGAAAAAAATACAAACAATGAAAAATACAAAATATAATACTTTCCAAGTTGGACAGCCCAAGTGAAAACCGCAAATTCTTACCCATCAATTTTCAAATGCATTTCAATGTGCTGACACAGAGTACGGTAAAATGATCGTTTGGTATATGAAATTTCAGTGTAATGTTCATTGAAACCGCTTTTATAACCAAGACGGCTTATGCGTGAGCACAGCAATGACAGAAAAAATGTTATAAAAACAAACATATCAAACATAAACATATTTACGGCAATGTTAAGTCCACCCGCATAAAAACCGCAACCACATTGAAAGAAATATGCAAAATAAAAACCGAAAGTTGTTTGATCAAAGTCAAATGGGACGTACATGGGACGGGGTAAGATTCTCTTTCGTTGCATTAATGGTGAAATTAATGCTACGATTAAGTTCACCGTACCAAACCATCCATACAAATTGATTACGTTTTGAATATGAAATTTTGACAAATCCAACAATCTGCATTAGAATGAATAAGCAAATTATTTTAAATAATCAGATAACAATTTTGTAATATCTCACCCTCTTTCAATGTGATCGTTTGCCCTGTAATCGGAATGATCGAATTTTGACCATAAATTTTCTAATTGTTTCCGTTTCATGTAGAATTGCAACGACTTGAATAATGCATTGAAAAAGGCGGTAACAACAAAAAATATTTGCAGTATATCCTTCAATGATGACGACTCCAATATGGATAGTGTGAAAAGAATGAATCCAATATCAATAAATCCTATCATATAACCAAGTGTGTACAATTTCATTGAAAATTTCAACCATTTCGAATCACTGTTAGTTTCACAAAAACCATATAGCTTGAATACACTCTTATGGAAGTGTACGTAATCCAATGGACTATACATCTTCTTTTCCAACGAAATTTGTAAAATCGTTTAGAGAAAAGGTTGACTTTGATCAAAAGTTTCGTTTGGGTCGCTGTGACTGTAAAGATTGAAACTGAAAAAAAATTGAAGACATCGTCATTTATATTCAATCGTCAGCGATTAGGTAAACCACGGAACCAATAAACTAATTGCTTTCTAGCTATTAAAAAACAAAACGATATTTTACATTTCACTTTTAATCTAATTATAGTAAGTGTAATTAAGGTACTCAAAGTGGTTATTAAATTAATTTGTTTAATTGTCGAAAAAAAATCTCTTCAAATCATAAAATCTGAAACTAAATCTTCAGAAAAAATTATATTTTTGATTTAAAAAAATGTAACAGAAATTTCTATTCACCATTACCACCAATATTCATCCGAATTTCAATGGAAATGTTTCTCTCTTTAAGACTGATTCGTTGAACTTGCCAATAATTCACAGTAATTTATTTGAAATCCGGTTCCCATTTTCAAAAGTGAATTCTTACTTAACTGCGAAAAGGAAAGAAAAGACGTTGAGAAATTGAAATGCAAAACATATATAACTTACTTGCGTTTTTGATGGTCGCTTCTGATACGAATACATTTTCATATGAAATTCCCGATAACTTGGTAAAATGCGCATAAAATTCATGTTTCCTTTTTGCCAACCGTAAAATCTTTTGGCTTTGATATCAAACCGTTTTTTGGATTCAATTAGTTCACTTGGTCATTGTAAAGAGGCCCAAAACATTCGAATAAATTTCGACATAATTCCTGTTAAAAACACAAATTCAAAACTCAATTTTAATATATATATTTTCTAATTGTCTTTATTTGCGATTGTTTCTTTTTTTGTATTCAACTTGAATGTTTTCAAGCACTATATATATTTTGTTTGTTCCAGCGAAATTCATCTATTCATGGATATATGATTACATAAACCTAGTTTAAACAACATTTTGTTCAATTAATTTATTTAATTCAATGCGATAATTTTTGTTTAATTTATTTTTCTCTCTGATAGCTTTTACATGTGTTGCATTTCAAAGATTTATATTATGGGGATTGGTTCGCAATTCGGAAATAATCCGTTAAAAATTATTATTATTATTTCTTTGTTTTTTGTTTTCCACGTATAAAAGGAAGAAACAGAAGTGCGGAGTTAATAAGTGTAGAATTGGGAGCAGTGCCAATTTTGAGAGTTGATAACAAGGTTTCTTAGGGCGATGCATTCACAGTAAATTCACAGAAGAGAAGAATTATATAATAATAAATCAAAGAAAGCTTTGCTAATGGTTGAGCACACAACAATATACGTACTCTATATGTTGATATTTAAAACGTAAAACAAATAGGAAATAAAAATGTATAGAAGATAGGAACAGAAGATTCAGAGTATTTGTCAAAGTCAAACATTTACGCAAACATTAAGAGATGTAAAGTTCAGAGTTTTGGTAAATATTTCTCTTTTGTAATTGATGGGAAAAAGGGTGTTTTTGTTGAGGAAATTTCATTAATTTAATGTGTTGCATAATTCAACAGTGTTCTAAAATTCTTTTTTCTTTACAATAGAGCAACTAGTGTAACTTTACTAGTGCTATTATCAAATGATTCTGAAAAATGATGATTTTGCCAAAAACATACTTCCTTTTTCCCTTCAACTTGACCACTTATGTTTTGTAATTGGCGACAAATAACTCAGAATTGAATTTAAAAAGAAAAATAAGAAAAAAGACATCATCAAAGATTATCGTGCAGAAAAACAATTTCAACTGAAAAGAGATAGTTTGAGAGTTTTTACGGTGCTCGACCACTATCACCATTATTTTATTTCTTTTCATTCAGTTTTCAAAGAAATGTCTGCACATATATATCTTTGATTGGAGGCAAATGTTTTTTTTTTCTCAATAGATTCTCGAAATTGTCATCATTAGAGCTTGGGCGCCGCGTTTATATACAACGCCACACAAAATATATACTAAGGCAAATTTATCTATAATTTTTTTTTTCTTTTAAGTTTATTTCTTTGTGTTTTTTTATCATTTTAGAATTGTAAATATCCTCTAACGGATGGATTGCCTGACAAATTCAGAGCAGTTTTAATACCATTGTATTGGTTTTATTCAGTTTTTCTTTCGTCTTCGTTCGTCGCATTTTCAGATTGAATTTGTCTAATATAATAATATACATCCATTGTAATATTTTAATAATCATAATAATAATAATTTAATAGGTATTTGATATAAGTACATTAAATAAATTTTATTTGTATTATACTCATAATTTGTTTTTACCTCAGCCTGTATATTATTTTTTGCTAAATAATTAGAAATGATTCTTCAATAAAATCGAAATTTAGTTTTACTTTTGAATTCAATATAAATAAATCCAGTTTTGTCAACTATTGTGTTTTTTATTCTGCTACGAATAATTCAGTTTTTAAGCAATTTATAGCTACTATCGATGAAGAAAACGCAAATTACACTACTGGCTACATCATTCATTTTCAATATATTCAAAAGCTGCTTAAAAAGCCTAGACTTTACGGATTCTCTTTAAGAAATAAAGTACTTTGTAATTTCGGTCCATTCAGAATATCGCTTAAATACTTTAGCTTACTTTTTTCCACTTCATTTTTCCTAAATTCAAATTGTATATTTTCATCTATAATTTAATTTGTATTCATCTTCAGATTCGAATATTGTCATGTTTCTGAAATGCCATTTTGCATTTCCAATTGTTTTTTTTTAATAAATAAAAAATTTAATTTTACTTTTTTCCAAGAAAAAAAAATATTTTTTTGCGTTCAAATTTTCATCAATAGATTTGAAATAAAATAAAAATCTTTGTATTTTATTTGCAAGAATTACTTTTTCGCGCACACACAGTGTGAGAGCAAAGTATTGCATTCCAAACACATCGAAAATCACTTTTTTAGAATCTTTTTGTATTCTATATTTTTTTTGGTTCCATTCAGTTTATTTGTTGGTTTTAGATCAAAAAGTTTGGCGCCGTGTCTTGATTGGCGTTTTCACAAACGTACAAATTGAGATATTACTAGCGAAATTGGATTGAAACAATAGTATATTTTCAAGCATGATGTATGTGTGTCACTGTGATCAATATGCTACAATGTTTTACAAATGTTTGTGAAGCAAAAGTTCCTTTTTTTTGTTTGGAAGCTTATGAATTTTCTTTACGTTTTTATCTATATAGATCTTATGGTTTGACGGAAACACTTTAATTCAGGCGTTTTATACATTTTTTGTGTATCAATGATGTGAATCTAAAACGTTGCTTATGCGTTATTTGATCCTCAGTTTTTTTTTTGTTTTAGTTTGTTTCCATTTTTGTTTTGCGTAAATATTGGAGAAAAATATATTTATACACACTTCACAAAATTGTCTACTTGTCGGCTATCATTTCAACGATATAGCGCAGATGCACGAAATCTAATCTAAAAAAAATTTCACCATTCAGAAGCAAAGGCTTCCAGACGGCGGTAGATCGCACGCTAAGTTTATTAGCTCAATATCATTTGTATTATATATTCCACCTGGGTGTTTGTGTGTCTGTGTCTGCGTCTGTGTGTGTGTCTTTCTCTCTGTGTGAGAAGTGTGTTTGTGTGTGTTATTTTTTGTTAGTACATAAAGATAATTCAGCTACAATATGAGCCAGAATGCGCACAAAAACTAATCTCAAGTCATTAAAAAGTCGAAAATCCTGGTAAGTTCCATGAAAATACAAGATCACATTTGTTATATTTTTTTATATTTCTCATTATTATTATTTTTTTTTGTTGCTTTCTTCAAATGATTTGAATTCCGCATCTGCATTCATCGAAGCAATTATTTTCAAAATTGATTTTCATCTTTGTTTCAGTTTTCTCTATTCATTTAAATTGTAAGTGTCCCAATAAAAGTGTTCAGTTTTTATGTATAATAAGTAGATATATGTTTGTATATATATATATCCATTGGTTCTACATATAAAAGCGATAATAGAAGTAGATCGCGCGAAAGTTTTCTAACACAAAGCTTTTTTTGTCATTCTGCTAGTTCAGATAAAATGTGTGTGTGTTTTTTTTAAATTTGTTAATTAATCATTTGCCACTTATTTACAGTGTATAGTTTACGTTGTGCATTTAGGGGCCCAACATTGATTCGGATGAAGTTGAATCTGAAGCGCATTCACTGGAATTTATCGAATGTTCTTTCACTAATCGAGACGGTGGCACGTTCGATGACGATAGAACCGTTTGAGCGGATGGTCGACGCTGTCGTAGCGTGTTCAAATCGAAATTCGGATGACGTCTCGCGTGTTTGCTATATATAAAGAACAACATTAACAAATGATATGCGTTAATAAATTCATAAGCATGGGGGGGACAAAACTAGGTGATTATCGATTTACCTCAGATGATCACTGCGCATAAATTTTTTGCTACAAATGGGACAGCAAAAGTTCTTTTCACCTAAATAAAAATAAGAACACATTATGAATTATTAAAACTAACATACTAGTAAATGCCAAAGATTATATGTGAAATATTAAACAAACACTTTCAAGCCATAGCAATCAAATTGAAAATTATCGTAATGAAAAGAACGAAATTATGCACAACAAAAGAAGAAACCATTCAAAATGTACCACCTGATTCCGGTGGAAAAATGGTATAAAATCGTTGAAAAAAAAAATCAAAATAATTGGCCTGAAAATCGTGCTTCATAAAATTATAATGTTTGCATCGCAAAAGCTGCCATTGCATTTGGGTGAAGTGAAAACGAATTGAAAATGAAATGAACATTCAATTTAGAAGAAATGAACGTAGTGACAGTAAAATGTTTTACAACAGCTGAGACGTGGATTAATTAATTTTTTTTTGTAATTTCCCCGTATGTTCATAGCTTCATTCTATACCACCAATAAAACGTTTTTATATTTCACGAATAAATGTTGGCATTTGAAAACGTCAACTGTTTTTATTTTCTGTGAGTTGGTGTGCACTTGTATTTACCTGTATGTGTTCGAAGGTGTCGTGCCAATTCATCGCTGCGAGCAAATCTCTTTCCACAATTGGTCCATTGACAAGGGAAAGGCTTTTCTCCCTATCGGATTACATTCAAAATTTTCAATTGTAACAAAATTTTCATTCGAATAATTACTGTAACAATAACAAGACAGTTCGTGTACATACCGTGTGCGTTCGCAGGTGAGCTTTGAGATGTGAACTTTTGCCGTAAACCTTGTTGCAACCAACGTACAAGCATTTGTGCGTCTTACGATTATTGTTCGGCACTGATACTTTATTATTATCACTTGCGGCAGTTCGATTGTCTTCGGAAAAGCTGCTTACGTATTGCGGGTGGTGTGGATTGTGATGGTGGGTGGTGGTTGTATTGGTGACATTTTCAATTGGAGATCCGATAAAATTTGTTGGGCTTCCAGTATCATCACTGTTTGACGTTTGCACCGGTTCATTTTTAACAATAGCAACAACATTTAATCGCTTCTTTCGTTTTTTCTTTTTTGTGGTAATTGGTTGGGCATCCATTGCCGTTATCGTTGGCAATGTCAATCGTTCGTGTATTGTCTTTTCTCTAGATTTGCGTCGCATTCCATTGGATGTTGTTGTTGTCGGCGTATGTTTCTTAGTTGCTAATGAATTGGATTTTGTTGTTGCCATTATTCTTGGTTGTTTCGGTCGTGCAGGCTTCCGTAATAATTTTGTCGTCGCCGTTGTAGTCGTTGGTTTCGGGACTGCCGCATTCCTCATTGTATTATTATTGAATTTTGTACTATTGTTATTGAAAATCGCGCTAACATCTACTGATATTTTATTATTATTTAAATTTTTATGATTTTCAACCAAATTGTGCCCGTTTGTTGCTGCCGCTGCTACTGCTGCTGCCTCATCGACTTTTGGATCACTTTTGATCCATGCCAAATTATTATTTGTTGTTATTTCATCGGCACTGTTCAACAGTACCGTTTCCATATGATTACGTTGCAAAAAGTTGTAGCTATTTTCATCATCAAAATCGTCAAATTTTATGTTTGCTGTCGTCGTCGTCGTTGTCGATTGTTTGTTCGCTTGACAACCGCTCAGATCGAGTGGTTTCATGGCAAACGTTGAATTGAAATTAGCACCACCGGTTGACATAGCCAACAAACAGTGTGCGGCAAACTTGATGTCACAGTCCATATTCATTTTGTTGAATCCTTGTATTTTAATACACACGCTTCTAAAATACAAAATAGACAAACAAAATACAAAATTACTTTTACAGATTGCTTTTTTTTATATTTTCTCTACAAATAAATAAGTACGTTTTCAATCATTAGGATAAGTGTATGGTGACCATAACGAGAAAAACAAATGCGTGACCTTCAATGCATACATTTAAAATAGAAAAACGAAAACGATTGACACGAGAAAATAAATTCCGATGGTTAACAAACGTCACAATTGCGTTAGATAACATCAATATGAGCACAATCCGATTGTGTCCTTTTTTTTATTTTGGGCTATTTTTCGTTCTAACTGGTGTAATCAATATGAACATGGATAACATCTTTGAATTCGAATATTTTACCAAATTCATTTGTGTATTTCATTCGTCCATCAAAGCATACTCATTGATATAAATGTGGCTCATATCTATGACCACAATAGAACCCACAATAAAAAAAATTATTATGTAGGTGAATGGTTTATTTCACATCAACAATGTGGATACATTTGTTTGTTATCGGAAGTGGTTGTTGGCGATGTAGAAGAAGAAGAAAATGTAAAAGTAGTAGTAGAAAAAATAAATAAATGAAATATAAAACCGATCGATATAATTAAGCTGAAGTATTTTCCCCTTCAGCTCTCACAAGCTGTCCGAGTGTGCTATGTATCTAAGTGGTGAGCCGTTTTAAATGTATACATATCTGCATTTCAATAGAGTCATCAAATACACAATTCGAGAAGATATTTTGGCCCATACTCTGTCGAAAAATGGAGTTGTCGATGAATAGCAATAACGACATCAAAAAATATGTGTATGTAGAAAAATGCGAAAAATGCTCATCCACTTGTGCGGCTGCGGCTGCTGCAGCTGCACACGGACAACAAGCGAATGTTGTCCTCAATGAAAGCTTTCCAAACAAACACACTGATTGAAGCCTAATTAGTGAAAGGGCAAATTCTATTTGCTCGCTAGTCATGGATGAAATACATCAAACAAGTCGAGAAAACAAACTCGACAAAAACACACACACACCCACACACTGTGGCACACACACAATTTCAAAGGCGTGTACATTAATTATAAAAGTAAATCATTTAACCAGATTTCGATATTTGATTAGCTGTAATTTAAATGAGTTTCGCGTAAAATACAATTAAGTGGAACGTTTTTTTTTCTTTTTCATTCTGTTCAATGTTGATTTTAAATTGATAAAAACATTTTCAGCCTGTTCCAAAAAAAACAACCTTTTCTCTCTTACTTTATGTATCTTTCGGTCGCTGTTCCTCCCCCTTTCCGTTTATTAGGGCTCGAAATCAGTCCGATGCGTGATTAAATGCAAAAAATGTATGCCGTCTTTTTTTCTCGTTTTGGGGGTAAAATTTTTCCAGACACTTTCATTTATAAAACATACTGCACGAATGACTTATGGCAAAATGGGGAGAATGAAATACATAATTGAATTGAATTGAATTTTTGACGCACAAAAAAAAACTCCCCCAAACAACAAAAAAATAATAATTCACAAATCCCAAATAAAACAAATGGAAAATGCTCGCGTCAACAAAACACACACCATCTTTCAACAAACACCATTTTCACTGTCGCATGTTCGTTTGAGATTTTCACTCGTAAGCCCGAACAGTTTTATGCGTCACGAAAATCTGTTGCCAAATGAGTGAAAATCTATATCTTGTTGGTTTGGTGCTACTTTGCTCAGTTCTAGCTACTGCTGCTGCTGCTGTTGTTGATTACTTTATTGTGCTTCGCTTTGCTTCGTGTTTCACTTTGTGTTCACTCAAATATCGCAAGGAGATAACGTATCGACAGAATAACAGAGAACCACATTCGCAGCAATTTTTCCCACAGAAAAATGGTGAATAGAGAGGCTATGTTCAAGTGTTTCCTCCTCTTCATGTTTGCTTGACTTATTGCAGTTGGAGCTGTGTGCGAATAAATAGTGGTTACAAAATACAAATTTCACTCCACCATCGTCACAAATACACCGACGCAAAGCGAACAAGTATGCATTGAGCAGCAAGCTCTCAATCTATATCTGTACGTCTCTCTATCCCTCTCATGTCATCGTCATCGTTGCTGTGGTGGTTGTTGCTGCCGTCATCATAGTCGTTGTCGTCGTAACGGCGAGTTATCAAACGAAGAAAAGCTAACAACATTTTGTAGGTGTAGGAAAATCGAATCATACACCGATTAGCCATTAAATGTTTGAAAAGAAAGCAAAAGCAATATATACAACCACATTGGCACGCGATATGCACGAAAAACCATTTATCACACCGAAATAACACACAAAGCAAAAGCATTTAAATTACACGACCAACGTAATAGAGAAAGGAAAATTTCCGTTTAAAAATGTAAAAAATAGAAGAAGAAGAAGAAATAAAATTGGAAGTTTTATTTGTGCTCGGTGTGTGCATATACTGTGTACGCAGTATTCATCGTATCAAAACGAATAGTTTTTAATTGAACTGAGTCGTTGTCTTGTTTCGCTTCGTCGAATCGAACGGTGAGCACAACGAAAAGCAACAACAACCAATGAAAAAATAAGTTTCATTTTAACTTTATTTTCGACAAAAAGAAATAGTAATGCCGTGACCCTTTTCTACAATTGCCACAATCGCATATGTTGCGAACATAATAAATATTTAAATGGGTTCAAAACAGAAAAAAAAGATTGATTTTTTTTATTTCGTTCGAAACCAAAACCTTGCGTTATTATTTATTGTACTGAATGAAAAAAAAAACGTAAATAAGGTACAATTGCGTCGACGTGATGAAATCTAAGTTGATTTTAAATTTTATCCGCGCGTTTTAATGATTGACAGTGAAGTCTCGCATTTTTTCTTATTCGAATTTCAAGCCCCTTTTGGCGCAATTTTTTTTTCACAAATGGTCCATGGAAATTAATTGCGATCAATAAACTACAGCTCAAATTATACAATCATTGAAACAATAAAATCCACAAAACGATGTATAAAACGCGTGGATAGAGATCAGTTTGACTTCAATGACACTGGCTTTATGATATGGTTGATTTGAATCTGTTGTTTTCCCTCTCACACACTCTGTACAATCGCTATAATTTTTCATTCGCCAACAAAGCAACGTACCCTTCGATATTCACAAATTCAATGTCAATCCTGAACAATATACTAGCGTACACAAACACGCAGACAGCCACATATTCACAATTGAGAACACACTAAATCTTTCAATACATGCATAATAAAAGTTTTAATTTTCATACGTAAATATAGGACATATTTCTAATTTATAAATCTAATGAGGTGGCTCAGTCATATCACTCAAATCTGCCACCATAGAAGAGAGAAGAGAAGAAAAAAAAAAACTATATAGATTATAGAGTTGTTTTTACGCACCAGTTTCAAAAGTTGAAAGTAACATTTACATGACCTTATACATGTTTCATTACTTTTTTGCTACAAGCTCCAACTTCACTTTGTGCACTTACAACGTTTTTCTTTTAAACGCGAGAGAAACGAAGCATTCAAAAAATAAATAAATACGCTTCTATCGACGTATGCTCAAATCCCAAAGGCCTACTGTCTTCTGGTTCGAATACTGAGCAACAACAACAACAAAATAAAAATAAACACAGTACACAACAATAAAACACACTCGAAATACCAAAAATTAGACAATATAAAAAAAATCGCTTTTTTTATTCTTTATCAATACACAGAGAAATCAAATGAAACCGAATTGTATGTGTTTCTTTAGCTGCTGTTGCTGCTTAAAAAAAAAATTCTGGGCTACACAAAACCGATCAAGAATCCGAGTATCTAAAATTGGTACTGATGTGTATCATTATTTCATAGATACTGGCTGTCGAAGGAAAACAGAACAGACTATTTACTTGGCTTGTTTTTGTTTCTCGCGCAATTTTTGCACTCACCAAGTACACACGAATGAAATCCGTGATAGAGAGAAAGAAAGAGATAAAAATGTAAACACACAAAAGCGTGTGCGTACAACTTGCACATTCACATACAAAAAACGTATATACATACAAATACGGGCCAACGACAATGCCATGAATAGAAGAAGACGAGCAAGCAAACAGCAGAAATATATGGGCTCTGTATAAAAAAACGAGCAAAAAAGCAATGAGATGGAGAGAGAAGGAGACAGAGTGACAGTGAGTAAAATCGAGTCGAAATATAAAGTGATTGTTTATGTGTGGGATGGTACAGACAAATTGTAGTTTGAATTGGGGCCATCAATTCAAATGAAATGTTGCTATACATGCAAAGCATTACACTTCACTCGATTCGATTGAGTCGAATGATAAACGCACGCAAATCAATTTCGCATACACCATCGTCTGCTACATCGTCTTCCTCAATGATTGCGCGCACTCACACTCGAACGTATCTTAACTAAAATCACACACACAATATTTTGTCTCAATAACATGCATACATTCATACACTCACTTCCCCGTGACTGTGTGCCAATGTGATTTCACCACATACTCTCTGTCTTCTGTACATAAACAAATCAAATGTGTGCATTTGATTTTCAATATATTCACAGTTTGAATGACATTTTTCAATTTACCGAATTTTCAACATGGAATCGCATCGAAAAAAGATTGATTTGAAAATTATTTTTAAATTTTCATTGTTAATTTTTTTCATTTATTATGGATTGAAAATATTTTCACCACAGTCAAATGTCATTGTAAGCACATTAGACGCAGTCACATTCGTTCCACACGATACGTCAGTTTGGTACGTATGATGGCGCTACTTTACACTTAATACTAAACGTGTGTATGTATGTACGTATTTGTCTGTGTATACACTTTCTTTTGTCAATGTTTTGAAAATAATCACATTTCTGAAGCGAACGCACGACTTCCCAGCGTGAAAAGTCACAAATGTGCGAATCACATTTTGAAAGAAACGAGATCAAGACACAAAGCTCATAGAAGAAGAGAAAAAAAAACTATAAACAAATCATATTTACACTTTTACATTATACAATACGAAATATTTGCAGTAAATTCAATATAAGTTTTAAACGAGCATTTAGTTTACAAATTGAATTTGTGGCATCAAGCAATTATTTTGCGCAAAAACAAGTTAAATAAAAAATAAAGTGTTTGATTTGAGAAAACAAGTGAGAGTGTGTGAAGTAATTTTGCGACAGCGAAACAAAAACGAATCAACTGGGCATTGAGCATCGTTTTTATTGTTCATTTTGAAACAATTTGAGATCAAAGCGAGTTAAAAATGGCTCCAAAAGAACGAAACATTGCAATGATGGGCTACAGATCAGTGGGTAAGGCAAAATATATAATAAGGCATCGATTCATTCAAATTGACATTGAGATAGCATTTAGCGAGCAATAAAAATCCCAAGAAAAATGGCGATTTCGATGAATTATGTTGAGTAATTTGACTTTTTGTTATTTCACGTGACATTTCAGCATGCATTCCATTCATCATTCGCATTCCTTTGTTTGTTATCAGAATTGGTTTGTGTGAGATTTTTCAGAATTGGTTGCTCATTCCTCTTTTGGGCTCAAAATGAAATTATCAAAATGTTATTGACACTTTGAATTGAATTTCGCAATTCATTGAAACACGCTCGGCGATCAATAATGAGAGAAAATAATGTAGTACACATTTGATGTCACTCTTTGCTTGAATTGCGAAACAAAACTATTACTACGCACAATTTATGTGGAAATGACGACAATCGTCATCGTCGTAAAAAAAAAGTACAGACTATATGTCTTACGTAGACACACATGTGTGTACACTGTACACATCTGTGTATTGTGCACATCGCAACAAATATTTTGGTTGAATTTAATTTAATGCGGAATTAATATTAAATCCTATGACGACAGCGTTGATTTACTCATTTTTACATCCAATAATCCAATATAAGACATAGTTTCATTTAATCTACCTTGAAAATTCCTTTGGTTAGAATTTTTTTCGTTTTATATATTGAATAAAGATAATGCTCCTCTTATTCATAGAATTTGAAATATTCGTTCTCTTTTCTTTTTTAATAAAATTCACATATGAATGTATAAGGCGATATAGAAAATGAATCGCTCATCGATCTATCAGTTTGCGTCTAATCAATGTGCGGATTAAGTTATTGAAATTGCGGCCACTGATCAAACAGTTTCCGTGCGTCACAGATATACGGCAGATAAAGCGGTACCTTACTATATAGAATAAATGAGTGCAACACAATGAATATTCAATCAATAAAATGGAAGCAAATGCTGAATATGTACACAAAAACAAATGTAAACAATGGCCATTATTCAAAATTAATTAATAACTTGACCATAGACTGGTTGAAGTTATCTCTTCGTTATGTTGAATTGAAAACCGATCCGATTTAATCTTTAATTTTGCACTTTGAAATCAAGTTGGCGTTTTTTTCTGTTTGATCTAGGTCATGCAATCACGAATATTTACCTAATACATTTTTCCTACATTTTTTTTTAATTTTCCATTGTTTTTTTTTTTTTGTTTGTATTATAACATAGGAAAATCGTCGCTCAGTATTCAATTTGTGCAGGGCCAATTTGTTGATTCGTACGATCCAACAATCGAAAATAGTAAGTTTTATTTTTCGAACATTTATTTTTCGTGTAAAAATATTCACCGTCTAATTATAACGGGTTTGTCTATGTTTTGTAGCCTTTACAAAAGTAACACGTATCAATTCCACGGATTACGAAATCAAATTAGTTGACACAGCTGGACAGGATGAGTACAGTATATTTCCAACGCAATATAGCATGGATTTTCATGGATATGTATTAGTCTATTCGATAACCAGCCAAAAATCATTTGAGGTCATACAAATCATTTATGAAAAATTATTGGATGTGATGGGAAAAGCACAGTGAGTATTCAAGCACAGTTTAAATGACGCAGTTGCTAGTTCGTTAAAGGTTAATTGATTTGTATGCCGATTTTCAGTGTACCTGTTGTATTGGTTGGCAATAAAACGGATTTGCATCAAGAACGTTCCGTTTCATATGAGGAAGGTAAAAAATTGGCTGAATCGTGGCGCGCAACGTTTTTGGAAACCTCTGCCAAACAGAATGAAGTAAGTCAGATGCAATATTCAACCAAATTTACAATTTTATTTTACAACATAACAAAACAAAAATCATATCAATTAATTGTCTTTCTTACCATTTTCTATTTTCATTTCGTATAGTCTGTGGCGGATATATTTCATTCGATAGTTTTGCAAGTTGAACGAGAGAATGGAAATACTCAGGAAAAGAGTGGATGTTGCATTTCTTGAACGTTGTTTGTTTTGAATTCGTTCATTGTAAACCCTCTAGAGTAAAAATTTTCTTTTTAAAATAAGCTGTAAATTTGGTCGATTTTACATTCGTACAATTCCATCCTATGCGAAAACACACAGACATATAAACACACACACAAATAGATACTTATAGAGGAAACAGCTAACCAAATCACTAAAACACTGAAGGAAGGACTGATATCGCTTTTTCTTACCACAGCGACACACAAACACACTCGGTTTTGATACGCTCAAAACAGTTTTTCATTCGAGAAAAAAAAAATTATAGAAAAAATAGAGAAAAAACCAGAAAAAAGTCTTTCTAAATTTACCGCAATCGCGGTTTAATTTTATATATGCAATCTATTTTTTATCGTTTTATATAAATGAATTTTATTTTAATGAAGTTTTTTTTTATTTTGAAAAGTGTCAAAACATAGTGGAAAACTACCGTTTTAAAATGGTAAAAAAAAAGAATGAAACTAATAAGATAGACTTTTTAATTAAGTTGAAACAGAAACAAAATCTTTTCATAAGTTGTGTAATATAAAAAAATTAAATAAATTTTTATTTCGGAAAATTAATTAAGTTTGGTTGGGCAAATTTATGTTGTAAAATTTGTAATCGTTTTTAAGAATTGGAAAAAGATTATTTTTTGAATGCGATTGATGAGATGAACTTCATTGAATCAAATCATCTACGATAAAATATCTGTATATTTATTTATGATTAAATAAAGTGCTGCCTACGCCTACCGGACATTTCTTACCTGAAAAAATGTGTATGTTTTTCCATTCATTCATATGTTTTTTTTTTTTTTTTTTTTCAAGATAAAATTTCAGCCTTTTGTTATCCATACTCAATTGAATGATTGAATTCTAATCGCTGAATGAAAGTTGTGATGAGAGCTCTCGTTATGTTTCAATCAAACACATTATTGAAACAGCTGCTCAAATGAATTTGCTTAAAATTTTAAAAAATTAACGGCGAATTGGTATGCAAAATGATTTCAACCAAAATACCATTCAAAACAAGACAATCATCAAAAAATGTACATCTAAAGCAGTAGATATTTATTTCAACGCAATTTGCGATCAATTTGAGAACAAAAAAAATGTACACACATTTATCCAATAAATCTATTTATTTGGTTTACGTTTATGTATCGACTCGGTCAGCTGTTTTTTGTGTGCGTTGTGTGTGATAAAGCTCGTTTGTATGTTCGTTTGTTCCAGTGCGGTGATGAAATTCACCACACACGCATATAGATAGTTGACAGATAGCAGTACATATCGTTGACACTTGTATAGTATATTCTCATTCAAATTAGAATATTCGATTGAACCATTTGTTTTCACACGATCGAAAAATGTAAGTACATTTTCTAATTTATTTCCGATGCTTTTGTTTCGCAATTGTCATGTGTTATTTGTGTAAATTGAATTTCATTGCATTTTTCCTTTTGGGTTTGTTCTAACCTTGATTGTCATTGAGCATACTATTTCCATACGAATGATTTAGTAGTACGAGTATAAATTAGTTTCAATAAAATGTGAATTGTCAAAAATTGAAATATCTGTATCTAGATGTAGATACGAAATCCGTATCTAAAAAAAACACTGGTTCTTGCATGTGTGCAATTTACAAATTGATAGACAATAGATAGAAAGAAAGATGGCTATGTATTGAAGTTGTATTGTGTATTTATTTTTTTGTTTCTCGTTCAGCCAATTTCGAACAATGGCCGATTTTGAGAACAAAGTTATCATTATAACTGGAGCAAGTAGTGGAATTGGAGCCGGTGCAGCTGAATTACTTGCATCAAAGGGTGCTTGGTTAGCACTGGTAGGTCGAAATGTGGAAAATTTAAAAACCGTTGCTGATAAATGTACTCCAACCTACGGTGCTCCCGAACCATTGCAAATTATAGCCGATGTAACAAACGAAGCGGACGTAAAGCGTATCGTTGACACCACAATTGAAAAATTTCAAAAAATCAATGTTTTGGTTAATAATGCAGGCATCTTGAAAAGTGGTTCAATCGAAACTGGCACTTTGGAGGACTATGATACCATTATGAATGTAAACTGTCGCTCGATTTTTAATTTAACAAAACTCTGCATTCCGCATTTAATCGCCACCAAAGGTAACATTGTAAATGTGTCGAGTGTGAATGGGATGCGATCGTTTGCAGGTGTTTTGGCTTATAACATGTCAAAATCGGCATTGGATCAATTCACACAGTGTGTTGCACTTGAGCTGGCCGATAAAACAGTGCGGTGCAATAGCGTAAATCCAGGTAAGCATTAGCAGTACCATTTGAAAAACATACACATTCTTATCGTGAATTTGATATTATTAATGTCGGTCATTTAGGGGTTATTGTAACCAACATTCATAAAAATGGTGGAATGAATGATGCTGCATACGCTGCATTCCTAGAACATTCAAAAACAACACATGCCCTTGGCAGAGTTGGTCAAACTCGCGAAGTTGCCGAAACAATTGCATTTTTGGCCAGCGAACGTGCTTCATTTATCACTGGTGCATTAATTCCATGCGATGGTGGACGACATGCCATGTGCCCAAGATAAAAACAAAAAGAACTCACATTTTTTGCATTTTCTTTCTATCGCCGTCAAAACGGAAATATATTTTACAAGGAAATATGATTTATAAAATTTATTTTCAATAAAATTGAATTGCAAACGAAACATTAGTCTTTAATCTTAAAACCATGGGGGAAAATGCTTGAAACAATTTACAATTTGTACATTTAATTATTATCACCAGAAGTGTTTTTTTCTCGTGTTTTTATATCTAGATAAAAATGTCGTTTGAAGGAAAGGTTATTTTAATAACTGGTGCCAGTTCTGGCATTGGAGCCGCAACCGCTGAATATCTAGCCAAACAGGATGCAAGTTTGGTTTTAATTGGCCGCAATGATGAAAAATTACAGAAAGTGGTCGATTCATGTTTGAAATCAACAAACAATGTGCTCAAAATTATTGCCGATGTGTGCATCGAGGCGGATGCAAATCGTATAATTCAAGGGACAATTTCCAAATTCTCAAAATTGAATGTATTAATCAATAGTGCTGGTATTATTCAATCTGGCTCAATTGAAACAACCACAATTGAACAATATGATCGCATATTTGATGTCAATGTTCGAGCCCTATTTCGTATAACGCAACTGTGTATTCCGCATTTAATCGCCACCAAAGGTAACATTGTAAATTTGTCGAGCGTTTGTGGTATTCGATCATTCCCAAATGTTTTGGCTTACAACATGTCAAAATCGGCCGTCGATCAATTTACAAATTGTGTGGCACTGGAGCTAGCCGAAAAGGGGGTTCGCTGCAATAGTGTATGTCCGGGAGTGATAAAAACTGAACTTCACAAACGTGGTGGCATGGATGATGAGGCATATGAACGTTTTTTGGAACATTGCAAAAAAACACATGCTCTCGGTCGTGCAGGAAATGTTGATGAAGTTGCGGCGGCAATTGCATTTCTTGCTAGCGATGCTGCTAGTTTTATTACGGCTGTTCAATTGCCAGTCGATGGTGCGTTATTTCAATCGTTTTAAAATTGAAATTCAGAAAAATCTAAACGTATTTCTTCTTATTTCTTAGGTGGACGACATGCAATGTGCCCTCGTTAAAATAAGGAAAACACATTCAATCAAAGTATATTCTTCAAAAAATATTATACGATACATTTTGTACCTGGATTTATTGGAAATCGAGAATATTCATTTGCAATTATGTACAATAAATAAATGTTTAAAAAAAATCTAATAGTTGTTATAATCTCTTTTCTTATGAATGAATATCATTTTGGATTATTTGTAGATTTATCTGATGTTAATTGCTTTAAACTTGAATTGTCTGTTTTTTTGATTTATTAAAGCCACTTAAATGAGTAAGCTTGGAAGTAAAATTCGTTGATATAAATTGAGCGGGAGATAATTAATTAGACCTACATCAATATTTGAGTCGTTATTACTTACGTAAAGAGTCTAGTCTTCGTCAATTAAAAGCAGTTATTAGGCTACAAGCAAGCACTATTTGCAAACAAATATTAAAGTCGCGCATTTTGTTTTTGAATTTCTATTATTTTATTGTTTGAAATTGATAAATTACAAATTTGCAGAGAAAACACATAAATAAATGACCGTAACAAAAAGAAATTATTTTTTCAAATCAAACGGAAAAGACTAAATGATTAATTTGGCATTGATTTTAATTTTAAATTCAAAAATCATGATTTTTTCTAAACGTAATTTTTCTACAATAATCTAAACAAACAGTTTTTCCAAAACTACTGCATAATTGAATTGAATATTTCTGTTTTCATTTTACATTTTTAATTATTATTGTCACTGTTTTCCGCGACTTTTGTGTATAAGCCCAATTTAACCTCGTGGAGATTTCTCGTTCAATCCTAAATACAAATTCAAAAAATGTTTGATCATGGATTGCTGTACATTGGTTAAAATATACATACCACCATCTACAGGAAGATTGACACCCGTAATAAAGCCAGCGGAATCACTAGCCAAAAATGCAATCGCATTAACGCATTCATCAGATTCACCGACGCGACCTATGGGATGCATTTTAGCGTATTGATCCATGATGGCAGCATATTCGACACTATCCTTATCAAAACCAAGGCAATCATGAAAATTTGTATCAATCACACCGGGATTTACTGCGTTACAGCGTACACCCTTTGCAGCAAGATCAATTGCAACAATTCGACTGAAGTGGTCCAATGCTGCTTTGGCCATACAGTATGCCAATAGTGATGGGAATGTGCGTAAACCACAAATACTCGACACATTTACAATGTTACCTTTTGTAGCGATTAAATGTGGAACCTAAATTAACCAATGTTGGGAAAAAGTCTTAGATTTACTCCAATAAATTTCCAGATTTTGATATTTACCGCGAGTTGAGTTAATAGAAATGTACCACGAACATTAGTTGACATGATTGAATCAAAATCTTCAGTGCGCGTGCTTTCAATGGTTCCAGGTATGGCGAATCCTGCATTGTTTATCAAGACATTCAAACGCCCGTATCTTTCAATCGTCTCACTAATAATGCGTTCATAATCAACCGAAATATCAGCCTTATAATGATAATAATAAAAAAGCTAACATTTAATTCTTTAAAAAAAATGTTTGACCGATAATTTTACCAAAATGACTAATGGTTCTGCTTCAACACCACTCTCCTTGATTTTATCGATAACCTTTGAAAAACGTTCCTCATTTCTTCCGACCAAGGCAAGTAATGATCCTTGCTTAGCAAAAAATTCAGCAGCCGCAGCTCCAATGCCGGAACTGGCACCAGTTATTAAAATAACCTTTCCTTCAAACGACATTGTTTTCTCGTGAAATTACTGATTATTTCGATAGAAAAAATGCGCACAAAAAAACAAAATGCAACTTATCTAGTCAAAGACGCAACGTTAACTGATAGACCTCAAGTGAATCGACGTCTGTTTTAAAATTAAATTTTAAATGCACAATCATCCAGTGCAATTAAGCCATATTTGCATCGTATATACACTTCCACTCTCTCTATTTATTGATTCACTTTATAGTTTCGAATTTCTAGTACTGGATTTTGAAATAAAACCTAGCGTGACAATAATCATTATTCATGAAAAAATTGCATGTCGGACATATTATTCGAAATAGAATCTTAGAAGATGCAGGTGTGTATAATAAAAAAATACGTATAGTCATGGCTCATATTTCATTTTCACGGAGAGATACGTTTAAAAAAAGTTACACAATCGTATCTTTTCCCTCTTTGGTCATTTGGCATGAAGGTTGTTTCAATCTAACTTGCGGACGGGAGTCATATGGCGCATCAGCTTCAGTTGAAATCAATACTGTTCACTTTTATATTTATTACAAAAGGCACATTTCTAATGCGTATATAACACAATATCCATTGTATGAATATGTGAGAAAAGCACAGCAAACCAAATAGACAAACAAACAAATAAAATCAATATTTCCACTCTTTTAATTATTTGCAAAAATGTGTTTCACCGCAGACAATACAGGGACATAAATTATTGAATGCAAGTTTAACTCTATCTTATTTTTTCAAGTTGAAATAAAAAAAAATCGATTCAATTTACATTTTAACACACACCGAAAATGTTTGCGTGTACTTTCTTCATGAATATTCTATACAACATTTTGTATTGAATGCACGATGTCCTTGATTTCAAATAGAAAAACGCAAATGGCTTTGAATTAACAAAAACATGAACAACAGTAAAAGTTTTCGATAGGTCGAAATCGCACCAATGTTGGTCAATTTGGTACCACGCTATTTTGTCCATTTCAAGGCCAGAACGACGCCAGAAATGATATAGAATTCACACAATCTCGTGTATGTCCAATTGTTTGAATGTTTGCTGGTGTTTCCGATAATTTCATCATAAAGATCAACGTCATCTTCAATGCCAATAGTAACAGTATGAATTATAACGAACTTGTAAGCTGATCAGCTAAGCAAAGCTGCTTTGGCCATGCAAAATGGTAAACAGTTTTTATAAACTGTTCCTCAACTAACAATACTCGGCACATTTACTATATTGCCTTTGCTTTCAATCAAATAAGGAACCGAAGAAAAGAAAAATATTGGGGGAAAATGTTAGATTTACTTCATATAATAAAGAATTCGATTTTTGCGGCGAATTGGGTTAGTTTAAATACTGTACGCACATTTACAGTAATGATGGCCTTAAGCGAATAATATTTTTCGATGGTTTCATTTGTAATTCGATATGCAACGAATATCGACCATTATCATCAGAGGTTCCATTTCAACGAAAGACTATTTAATTTTGTCCATGATTCCTTCAAATTCATATAATCTTCGATTAGCCAACGCAAGTAATGCTCTTTTTTGCAAAATACGTCAATCGTCACAAGCCGTTCCTATATCACTTGCGCCAAATTAAGTTATCAACATTTTCAATCAAAAAGAATTTCTTTTTATTTTTGTTTATGATATTGCAATTTAACCGTTTACACAGAGAATAAGTTAGAGTAAAATATGATTTGACTGTGTTTTTAAAATGGTTTAAAGGGTTTGTGGGAGTTTACAGAATTCCATTAATATTTCAAATGATATACAAATGTAAATGTGTGATAATTTATTCTAAATATAAACAAAAAATTCCAAATGCGTCACTATTTCAAGGTGAATAGAATAAAACATGAACATAATTTATTGTTTAAATTATATCGATGCATTGCACAGACCGTCCATTAGTTACTGGAAGCGGCACAATAGCGCCAGATAAAATTTTACCCGATAAAAAGGGCTCTTGATCTCTTGCCAAAAAAGCGATCGCCTTAACACATTTTTCGAGTCGCATGATTTCATGGGCGCTTTCCATGTCACCAGGTAAAAATTCGGTAATATTAAAACCAGGACAAATTGCATTAATTCGTATGCGCTTACTCTCTAATTCCATAGCCACACATTTCGTGAACTGATTCAATGCCGCCTTTGAGATAGAATAAGCGAGATAATTTGGAAATGGGGTAATACCGCAAATGCTCGACACGTTTATAATGTTACCCCTGGTCACGTTCAAATATTTAATCGCTTTTTTAGTCAATAAAGTAACAGCTCGCATCTACGAGAGAGAGAGAGGGGCATGGATCTTAGTATTTCTACTTTTTAAAGTTACTTTTTTTAAAAACGCATTTAACATGTACATTTGACATGACCTAATAAGTTCTAGTTTTCAGAGTTTTGTGTCTCTCTTCTAAATACGTACGTTAGTTGCCATAATCATGTCAAACTCGTTCATTTCCATTTTTTCAATTGAACCAGGAAAACCAATTCCAAATGTATTAATCAAGACATCCAAATGACCAAATTTTGCAATTGTTTCGTCGATAATTCGGTCCGAATCAGTGATTATATTGGCCAAAATAGTCAAAGGTGCACATTCAATGCCATGATGCCATAATTTTTCGATTAAATTTTTCAATTTTTTTTCATTCTGACCAACCAAAACAAGTAATGCCCTTTGTTTAGCAAAATATTCAGCAGTCGCCTCACCAATCGCAGAGTCCGCAGCGATTATTAATATCACCTATTGAAAATCACATTTTAAAGTCGCCATTCAAGTTTAAAATTCATTAAAATTACCTTATCTCTAAAAAACCACATTCTGGATTGGTATTACTTCCTTGAAAAGGATAACACCACAACTTAAAGAATTCAACGCTAAGTGAACACTGAACCATTGAAAAAAATACATATTTCTTTGTTCCGATTTTATATGCCTTTGCAAAATAAATAACATTTAATATATATTGTTATGTCAAGGTGACTTTAATATTATTGATTGAAAAGTTTTCCATATCAAGGAGATGCGTGTGGAAACCTCAGGGTGCGTTGTATGTGGCCAATAATTAAATATTAAATTTAACAATAAAATTGAGAAATTGTGTCCTCATTTCCACTTAACTGACTTTTAACATTTCAAATTATATCAAAACTTTGATCACTTTCACGACTAATTGGGAGCTGTAATATTTTCCCCGAATGAAATGTGTCTTGATCTTTTGCTAAAAAAGCAATGGCTTTAACACACAAATTGATTTGTTCAATTGAGTTGTTTTCATAATCGCGCCTATTGGCTGTAGTAACATGTTTATTGCTTGCTTGATTTGATGCAAATTCGGTAATATTATATCTTGGAGCTATTGAATTGATGCGAACTCCACTGCTTTCTAATTCCAATGCTGCGCACTAGAATCAAACCGAAAATGTTGAAAACATCATTATTTTTATTACTAATGAATACCTTGGTAAACTGGTCCAAGCTGGCTTTTGAGATGGAATAAGCGAGATGATTTGGAAATGGGGTAACACTGCAATTGCTTGACAAAACTACTATATTGCCCTTGCTTTTGATGAGATATGGAATCGCCTTCTTAGTGAGTTCTATAACGTTTCGAACCTAGTAAAAGACAAATTAGAAAAGATGACTTAATACGCGCTAAAAAACGTGAAAAAAAAATCATTTGGTACTTACGTTAGTTGTCATGACGATATCAAAATCTATAATTTCCATATTTTCAATTGAACCAGAAAGCTCGATTTCGGAATTGTGTATCAAAACATCTAAACGTCCGAATTTTACAATAGTTTCATTGATAATTCTATCTGCATCAATCGTTATTTCTTCGGGCAAACTTATTGTTTCGATGCTATTCGCTTTCACTTTGTCGAAAGCTTGGACAAGTCGTTCGGTTTTTTGACCAACTAATGCAAGTAACGCCCCCTCTTTGGCGAAGAATTCAACAGCCGCTGCACCAATAATCGACGAAGCGTTCGTAATCAAAATCACTTTACCTTTAAAAGACATTTTCTTCCTTTTGATTTTAAAAATGGAATACATATCGCATAGTCCAATCACGAGCATATATTAAATCACAAGACCAATTGTGTTTGATTGAAGAGTGATTCCGTGAGGAATTTGTCACATGTTCATTGATAATACATTTCATTTATAATGCATATAACAGCAGTGTTTAGACGGCCAAACCCACCTGAGGTTTTGAAAGTCATTCAATTTGCCAGGGATTTTCTTTGATACCTTTCACACTATTCAAAAATCATCAACTATCCAAAATATATTGTAAATTTCGATTGCGCTGTGAAAATAAATGTAATATATTCATTGACGAACAAATAATTTGTACATCGTTAAGCCATCTATTTCTGTAACAGTTAAAACTTCATGCTTTTGTATAATCATTGAACTTACGCGTACACAACATCATTGAAATGTGTGCTCATATTGCTGAAGTAAGTTTATGTGTTTCAACTGTTTCAGCAATTTTGTTTGATTATGTGTGAGTTACGTAAAGAAAAAGCTGCTTTGATAAGTACATTTAAAATATTTTATTATTTATAATGTAAAGTATTTGAATATAGTAAATTCATATGCCTTGTTAGGAAATCTGAAATATAACTCATTCGATCAAATCAGATTTGGAATCTAGTTGATGTCTGATTGACTTGTTTCAAAGCGTATATTTTTATATTCATTAAAATGCTCCTTTTGTTGAAATTCCACCATCTACGCGAAGCAATATGCCCGTGATGAAATTAGCACTTTCGTCTGCTAAAAATGCAATTGCATTCACACAATCGTCACAATATCCAATGCGTTGAAGTGGATGTTTTTGTGCGCATAGTTCTTCTACGGCAGCCCATTCGTCAGTATCCCTTTCAACGCCATGGAAATCAGTTTCAATAAACCCTGGGAGAAATGTTCGATAAAAATAAAATGTGAACCTTATATGAAAAATTAAAAAAATAAATAAAAAAGTTTTCCACTTCACCTGGGTTTACACTATTACACCGAACGCCCTTTGCAGCCAAATCCATAGCTACACACTTGGTAAATTGATCCAATGCTGCTTTGCTCATCGAATATGCACAATTTGAAGGTACCGGCATAATGCCTGCAGCACTTGAGATGTTGACGATATTCCCCTTGGTTTCGAGCAAATACGGAATCTAAAAAATGTTGCGAATTTTTATAGATTTACTTCAATAAATATATTAAAGAATTGAATATTTACAGCCAGTTTAGTTAACTCAACGACTCCGCGTACATTTGTGGCCATCATTGAGTCGTAATCATCCATTTGTAACGTTTCAATCGTACCCTGAATTGAAAATCCCGCATTATTGATCAGAATATCCAAATGACCGTATTTTTCGATCGTTTCACTCATTATTCGTTCAGCATCAATCGATACGTCTAGATGTGACAAATATTATAGATATTATTCTACTTGTAGATGGGTATTATGTGTTTATATGTACCGGCCAAAATCACTAACGGCTCAAGATCGATTTCACTAGCCTTAATTTTGTCAAGAACTTTTTCAAACTTTTCGGCATTTCTCCCGACAAGCGCTAGTAATGCACCTTTTTTGGCAAAATATTCAGCAGCTGCAGCACCGATGCCGGAACTAGCTCCGGTTATCAAAATAACTTTACCAATGAACGGCATGATTATTGTTATCGGATGACGAGTATTTCAATAGTGTGTTGATTTACGTCCGTTAAAGTGTAATACAAAGAATATACTAACTATTGTGATGAAATGTCGATGTGAAACATGTACTATTCGGACATTGGGCGTATACCGTTTGCTAAATTCACTCATTTAATTTTCATCGTGGGAATTCAAGTGCATGTTTTCACCAATCGATATCAATTTTATCCAGGCCACAACGTGTATACACTGCAATATTTGAAACTTGGGAAAATAATGCAAAATGGATATTTATATAAATGCAATACGACCGAAAGTCTAATTCATATCGATCTAGATCATTATTAATTTATAGATTTACACTTGAGAATAAGATTGTTTACTATTTACATTTGAAAATTATTTGAAACGTTCATACGAGAGAGGCCAATAATTTTATCCATAGCAAACACAAATAGTTTTTTATATTTACTTTTAGGTAAGATATCTTGTATGCGGAGTGCGCACATAGAAAACATCGATAGACCAATGCCAATACACTGTAGCATGCTAAATATCGAGCGTCAAGCGTTGTCTTCATTCGCATGAATTTGTTCATATACACCGCGACTAGAATACTATAGTTGTATTTGAATGAGAATACAATATTGAGAACTTTTGTTGAATTTCTGATTTACATTAAAAAATGTCCAACTGATTTTTCAAAGCATCTTCCCATCATCAAATAACATTAAGATATCTAGATACTGTTCATTCTTTACAATAATTTTCAAGTAATTTATTTTCTTTAAAATCATATCAATATTTAAAGCAATTTGAGCATTTTTGTATCAATATTATACATTTTTCTTTAAATAACAATTTTCTAAAAATCTCCTTTCAGGCTAATACCTCCATCAACGGGCAGCAGTGTTGCAGTTATAAAATTCGACCGATCTTTCGCTAAAAATGCAATTGCATTGACACAATCCTTAGTGTATCCAATGCGATCAAGTGGATGGGCTTTGATATTTCTTTCAACCAAATCAGCATATTCATCGCAATTTTTTTCAAGGCCACCTCTTGTATAGAAATCTGTATCAATAAAACCTGAAAAAATACATGTTCGAGGAATGAAGCGTTATTTTTCTCTAATTCTTACATTTTTAAGTTTTCAAATATGAACTGATGGAACTTACTTAAATTTATCGAATTTACACGCACTCCTTTCTCTGCCAAGTGCAATGCTGCACATTTGGTAAACTAAATATGTAGAAAAGTATTTAATTTTAGAAAACAGTTTTTAAATTTGATTATAAAAAAAACCTGGTCCAGTGCGGCTTTAGACATCGAAAAAACCATAGAATTTGTAAATGTTTTTAGTGTCATTGCACTTGAGACATTGACGACATTTCCTTTGCTTTCAATTAAGTACGGAACCTGAAAAATGTTGGCGGAAAATATTTGATTTAATACAATAAATATAAGAAAGAAGTGGTTTCTTACGGCAAGTTGAGTTAGTGCAACTATGCTACGAGCATTTATGGTCATGACGGTATCAAAATCCTCCATTTTCACGTTTTCAATCGTTCCATGAATGCCGATACCAGCATTATTGATTAAAATGTCCAAACGACCATACTTTTCAATGGTTTCATTGATAATTCGTTCTGCATCAATCGTAACATCGCCCAAAATGACCAGCGGTTCACTAGTTACACCACATGCGATAATTTTTTTCACAACCTTTTTGAATCTCTGTCCATCTTGTCCGACAAGCGCTAGTAAGGCACCGTGTTTTGCAAAATATTCCGCCGCTGCCGCACCGATCCCATTTGAGGCACCGGTTATCAAAATAACTTTATTTTCAAAGGACATTGCGCTGTTCACTTTAACACACGGTACACAATCAACTTTAGGATTTCGTTGTTAGTTCAATACTAAGAACAATGTACAAAAAACTTCAACAAAATCAAAATTTTAACTGTTTTTATCATGAATTATTCAACGATTTGAAGAATTTCAATTATTAGACAACAAAATGTACACATTCTTTTTCCTTCAGACTGTAATTGGACTGCGACCCTAGCACTCAATTTGCACTGTTCACCCGGGACATTCGCACCGTGCGTCAGTTACGAAATCACGAAACGGAAGACGGAGCGACACATGAAGAAAGTAGTGTATGCACGTGCGTATACGCTTCATTCCTTGCGTCTTATTCGTTATTCCCCTTTTTTATCTTTTTGTTATGTAGCGTAGCAGCCTTTGCCATGCAAACAGCTGAAAAAGGGGAATAAAGAATAAGACGCAAGACACGAGGCATATATGCAAATACACTACTTTCTTCGCTCCGTATTCTGTTTCGTGTTTTCGTATCTGACGCACGGTGCAAATGCCCCGGGCGAACAGTACAATTTGAGTGCTTGAGGATGGAAAATACTATATAAAACCTGAAATTTTGGTCTGTGTCTATAACAATGAATTTTTAAAAAAATCTATTTTCTGGCGCAAGCGTGTCAACACAAAAAGTTTAAAAATATAATTATGATATGGAATAAAGATTTTACGCTACAATTTAAAATGCGAATGCTTGAATCTTTCAGTGTTTTATTTTATTTCCAGTAAATAATAAATGAGATAGATTCTTCAAAAAGTAACAAATTAGTCAACGGTCGATTAGTTTTCATAATTAATAACATCACATGCGAATATTTGGCACCCTAGGTATGACCTACACATGCATTAAATATTGAAATCAAAAAACAGTAATTAAGGAGTGACCTTGACATTTATTTTAAAATTATCTCAAAATGCTCCTTTACGACCCAAGCCTCCATCTACAACGAAAAGATGGCCCGTGACAAAGCTGGCTTTCTCACTCGCCAAAAATGCAATGGCATCTACAATGTCTTCAGATTGCCCGACACGTCCAATTGGATGCATTTCAATATTTGCCTGCATCAATGATGCGTATTCTTCGCTATTCCTTTCGAAACCATGAAAATCCGTATCAATAAATCCTGGGTTTACACTATTGCACCGAACGCCTTTTTTCGCTACCTCCATGGCCACACATTTCGTAAACTAAACGTATAAAAATGAAGCACGGTTGAAAAATAAAATTTTAAATTGTGTTTAATGTACCTGGTCCAAAGCAGCCTTGGTCATTGAGTAAATAAGAAAATTCTGAAAAGATGCAATGCCCGCAATGCTGGAAATATTTACAACATTTCCTTTACTTTCAATTAAATGTGGAAAAATTGCCAATTTAGTAAGTTGAATGACACTTCGCACGTTGGTTGCCATCATAGTATCGAAGTTTTCAATGTTTAATGTTTCAAGCGATTCATGATTACCGAAAGCAGCGTTATTAATCAAAACATCCAAACGACCATACTTATCAATAGTTTCGTTAATAATTCGTTCTGCGTCAATGGCAACGTCGGCTAAAATTACCAATGGCTCCATTTCGATGCCTTTCCCTTTCATATTTGCAAGAACTTTTTCAAATCTTTCAGCATTTCGCGCGACAAGGGCTAGTAATGCGCCTTCTTCGGCAAAATATTCAGCAGCTGCAGCACCGATCCCATTTGAGGCACCGGTTATCAAAATAACTTTACCAGCGAATGACATGATGTTGTTTTTTTTTAACTTTTGTTAAATAACACTCACAAAGAGAAAACTTTTCTTCGTATTATGTTTTGGTTGATCAAATAGTAAAGATGAACTGACCAACATCAAATGTTGCACTTTCTTTTTAAGTGAATTCGTTTCATAATCCTTTTTTGTTTGGCTGGAGGGGCATAACATTATTGTACCTTATACTTATATCATCATTTAGAATATATGAATTATTTCGTCTAGACATTAGAAACTTTCACCTTTTTATTTATTAACAATGTCAACAATTTTGTCACGATACAGTTCAAGTATATTATAACCTTGGACACATTTCGTAAAAATTCAAATTAATATCAAAAGCGGTATATTAGTACATTACATTTATTCTTTTCTTAGAATCTTTCTTTGCAATTTGTACATCAAAACCAGGCGTTTGCATTGAAAATGAATTTTTAATAGTAATCAGTATAAAAATGGGAAGCAACATGTGAATTTTGAATATTTCATAAGCATTCAACAGCAACAGAATCATTAAATATAGTAAATGCTTTGGTGATTTCTATTCAATTTCTGTGCCACATGAATTTCACCACGTGAATTCGGTCAAATACGAATCGTATTATACGATTAAGTATACACAGATGTCGCTACAAATATTTCTCCACTGAGCTACAAGTTTCAAACAGATGTTTCTGATTGTCAATTGTCAAATGAGTGCGAATGTAAATAAAAAGGTGAAAGACAGAATTCTAACCAACAGCTGCTCAACTGAACTGGCACAGTTGATGAAGGTACATTGAAAGTGTAGTTTTAAAATTCACACTAAAACGACGTTGCAATGACATCGACCAAAGTGATTCAGTTGGACGAAAAGATGGCAAAACTACACGAATGCGGTAGTGGTTTTCGAGCTAAGGATGATCCATTTTTTGAGGCAAATAATACTGTGATTTTCACACCGTTTGTCCGACTCGGTGTATATCGATATGATGACGAAAGTCTTTGTCATAAATCGTAAGTATTAAAATCAGCCAATCGGAAAATCATTTCTTGCTATGAATAATTTGTAAAAAAAACTCTTATCTTTTCACCACAGAGATCGCATACGTTGCAATATTCCAAATTGTAATGAAATGTTTGACACAATATTTGCATATGAAAATCACTATAATTCATTGCATCGTTTTTTGTGTGCACAATGTAAGAAGAATTTGCCCAGTGCCCATTTGCTTGATTTACATTTGTCGGAGAAACATGATTCCTTCTTTGCTGTCCTATCAGAACGAAAACCGATGGTAAGTGTAATGTGTCTTCTGTCAAGTCCAATATGTCACAATGATTGAAATCGTTTGATTCAATTTCAGTATCGTTGTTATTTGGTGGAATGTTCAGTGCTGAGCAAGAATGCTTCGGAGCGTCGTGATCATTGCATAACGGTGCATAAATTTCCGGCTGATTTTCGTTTTGATTGTTACAAGCATGGTAACAAGAAAAGCAACAACAAAAATGATGGCAAAAAGATTAGTCAAAAGTTACCGGATCAAAAGGCATCATCACCATCGTCGTCCGTGACGTCTGCATTACAACAGTCAAAGATGGTTGTATCGGTAACATCACATGATGAAGATGTCGAATTGGAGGATAAATCAATTTTACTCATGACACAACGTAAAAATTTCGCCCATTTTTCATTCGGTCACAATAAGACGAAGACATTTCGTTCAAATTCCAATCAATGTTATGCTAAGCAACTAACTGCCAAATCGGAAATCACCAAAAAGCCCCAGTCTGGCCTCGATGACGCCAATTTGGTGGATGAATTAATGGATAGTCTACCACAATGATTGAATTTTCACTTTAATATTGTTTATTTTTGTAATTCACTCGAATCATCAAACATTTTACCACAATAAATAAGTTAAACATAGCTAGAAAATAAATTATAATAAACAACAACAACGAAAAATGATTATGTTTCTTACTCGATCTAATGACTAATTCTATTTATGCCTCGTTGTCAATTTCTTCCACTGAAACGACATCAGTTTCATCTGTTCTGGATTCGGTTGTGTGCTCATTACTTTCAATGTCCTCTTCCGAATTTGTAGTTGGTTTTTTTGTCGTTGATGCCGTCGCTTCTTGGCTTGGTAACTTTGATGTTGTAGACGGTTTCGGTTTTGACGTTGAATTCACAATCATTGGAACGATTTCACATTTTTGACCTTTGAATCCTGACGGGCATTCGCATTTAAATGAGCCCTCATCTTCAGTTAACGACGTACATTTTCCACCATTTAAGCAAGTTTTTGGATTTTCTTCGCAGTACTTTAATTCTACAGATAAATTTAAAAATTTAAATTTAAGAATTTTTCTGTTCATTTGAACATTTGAAAAAAACCCACCTTCATCACATAACATTCCTCCGTAACCAGGTCTATTAAGTATGTTGAAACATTAACATTTACATTATTAAGTTTTGTATCATGTACTTACTTGCAGTTGCATTCCCATGGTCTCTGGCAGTCACCGTGCTTGCAACCTGGATATGGATGACATTTGTCGCAATTATCTCCATGGTATCCAACTTTGCAACGACATTCCCCTTTAATTAGACATTAATTAAAATGACACATTATTGTAACGTTCGAACTACAAGCGCATAGAACAGTCTTGTAACAACAAAATAATCTCTTTACCTGGTTTCTTACAATATCCATGCTTTTGATTGCAATTAGCAGCGCAGGTGGCTTGAGTTAGAACAAAAAATATATATTATAAAAATGTTTTGTTTTTTTTTTGCATCGTGATTGCAGTATGAAAAATAAAAAAAAATAATCTTACGAATGTGACATAAAATGCCGGTCCATCCTGGATTACATTTGCATTCCTATAAATAAAAACACATTTAATTTTTGTACGTCCAAAATGTCGTGTAAAATTTATATGTTTTACCAATGGTTTTGTACAACTGCCATTTTGACAACCAGGTAAAACTTGACACTCTTTGCACGTTGGTCCAGCCCAACCCAATCGGCATCGACATTCATTTGGAACTTCACAATAGCCACGAGTTGAATGACAATCTTCACGGCAAATGGCTGACGGAAGAATTTCATTTTTAATTCGATTTTATTTTTTCCAAATTTTGGATTATTTGAATAGAAATGTCTTACGATCGGTGCAGAATAATCCATCCCAGCCTTTATTGCATATGCACTCAAACGAAACGTTACAATAACCATGTTGACAGCCTAAATTAGTAATAGAATAATATGATTTGAATATCATCCAACCAAAATATCCATAAAAATCGTTTTAACCTGGCAATGGGATACAACGATCACATTTTTCTCCATAAAATCCTAAATTACAACGACACTCTCCGGGCTTTTTGCAATAGCCGTGCATTGGATCACAACCCTTTCGGCATAATGGAACATCGCACAAGTCGCCTTGCCATCCTTTAGTCATTGTGGAAATATAAATCTAAATCATAATCCAATAAATGCTAAAATGTTGAAATTTTACAAACCTGGCAAACACTTAACATCTCCATTATCGTCACATGTGTAATGGGATTGTTCATTTTGACTGGCTGGCACCTCACATGCTTGTTTCTTCCATTTGGGTACGTAACGTGCAGCAGCCGTTAAATAAATCATATAAAAAATCAGAAGCGCCACAATGGCCAATATCTGATTGAAGTTCATTTTCTCTAATAATTTGCAATGGAAACAAAGAAGAAGATGAAAAAAAATCTCTTGCATTTACATAAGTATGAAACATTTATTATTGTATTTATAACGCAGTGGGATTTCGAATTAATTAATTATTATGTTATCTTTTATCTGATTTTATCTGGTTTTATCTATCGATTTAATCAAATGCAATCAAATTAAATCATTTAAATACAATAAATGAACCAAAACAAAAAAAAAAATAAGAAGAAGAAGATAATAATCAAATTCATCATCCGTGTATGCTACAAAAATTATATTAACAACAAATTATAAAGGTAGGCAAATATCAAAAGATGTGCCGTCAAATAGGCGCGACAACATAAAAATTAATTAGCAAGCAACGACGGTTGCCGGTGTCGAAAATTCAACTGCACGAAAAAAAAGCAATAACAAAACTAAAACGTAAACAGTATCATAAACAACTTTCTTTCGTATGTCCGCATGCGTGCATACAAATCACATGTGTTACGTATAAATTGCGATATTCTCATTGAAAATTCATAATTGCCGTTGGTGTGCTGGTGTATTGGTTTCGAATTGATTTTTGCCCTAATGTTAATCGGTCGAAAACTTTCCTATTTGCTTTATTGGTTTTAAGAGTCATTGCTTATGATTTATGGTGATGCGAACGCGCAAATTCATCAATTTAATTTATGCAGCGCACAATTTTTTTCTGTATGCAGTTTATGGGTAAAATTTATTGACATAAATAATTCAAACAGAAAAAAGAAAAAAAAAGCGTCAAAAAATCCGATATATTTACGGCGTTCCTATAGCATTTGCATAGTTCGTACATAAAAATGTTTATTCATATTGCTGTATATAGATTTTGTTGATTGTGAACATACAAACTGAAACGTTGACTCTCTAATTGACCAAAAATGATCATAGCCGAAAAAAAGGCTCGCGTTTTTTTCTGTCTTTCTCTCTCCTAAAAAAAAAACGACAAATTTTCTTCAAATTTACATTTCAATCTGAATTAAATATCATATTAATGACGTCACTTTCACTCACGAATGTGAACACAATAAATTTGAAGTCATGTATCTACGATATGTGCAATTAGAAATCATGTCAAAACAATTCAAGTAGAAAACATCCATTTAAAAAATGTTTGTGAACACTACGATCTCTATTGTCTTGAAGCTTTAATAGACCTCTGAGATCGACACTTTCATGCCATGCCGTTCAATAAAGTGCTGTTTCTCTTTTTCACAAGAACACATTTTGACTTGAGAAAGCGTCGCGTGACTGATAAAAACAATCCAATTTCAGTCATGAAGCTGAACATCGTGAACACAATACGTGCGAAATGCCATTGTGTGTATTCATATAGTTTTTTTTTCGGATAGAGTAATCACAAGAGTAGGTCATGCACTGACACAAGTAGATCGTACATCATTTCATATATAAGACGGCTTTTTAACATTCACCTTTTACATCGCACATGAAATAGAACCGGTAATATTAACTAAATCAGAACTTTTTTGACTGAATTGACGATTGGTCGAAAACTTGTTTCAAATTTTCTTTTTTTTTCTAATTAAATCTGTTAATTCAATGAGAAAAAGCTGTATTTTTAAAAAATAAATAAATTACTATGAAGAGTTTTTTTTTTTTTTAATCATCACCTTTTATACATTCACGTCAAAGAATGTTTCACAAATGAGAACGCGATAGATTATTTTTTAAATGAAAAAGTTTCTCCGAAAACTAAACTGATTCGTTAGACTCAACAATCTTGACTGTTGGATGGATTTGAAAATAGTGATCGTCATGGCCATCGTAGTGGTATAGTTGTGCGTTTGCTGCAGCTCGCATAAAAGAAAGAAAGAAAGATAAACAACACAAAAGAGAAATTATCAGAAAGAAGAAATGTCGGTGTAACGGTAAATGGTGCAAACTAACAAGAAAAATACGGAGGGGAATGATTCATTCAAACAGAAATGACTTAACACGTCGAGTTTTGAAATGTAAATCGAACATTTCTTGTTCTAGACACGGTTTTAAAACAACGGTTTTCACAATTTCTGATTCTTTTTCTCGGCCATGTACTCATAATATAAAATGTTAATCACAAAATGCAATGGCATCATGCGTTATGTATATTGGTACTAAGAAAATTAGACATCACAATTCGATATCTTCTGCAGTTGAAGCAATTAAAACCATTTGAATTTCTACTATATAGCGCTATGCACATAAAAAATTAAAAAAAAATCAATACAAAAGATGAATCATCTCAGCGCATTTGCAATTTTTAATTCTGTGCACGACATTTCGAGAAATGAAATGAAGCAAAAATATTACGGTTAAATTTATTATTGTAATGGTTTTATTTGGCTTAACATATTTCTTAAGATTAATATACTTCATTAATGCTACAGAGGCCTGGATAGGTTTTGTCAGCGCCAGTTTTGCATTTCGAAGCCTTCGAGCCAGCAACATAAACAGGAGATCCAATCATATTTCCATACGAATAATTACATGCAAACAACACGGCTTGTGTTTCCTTTCCCTCTACGGTCATTTTAGTAAAAGCGGCAGCACACCCTATCGCCTCGGCTTTTTCTTGGACCCATTGTGTAAAGTGACCCACATCAGGTCCTCTTATTATTTTGAATGAAATTAAAAACAGAAATGTTCAGAATTGAACGACAACTAATCACTAATAACTATAAAAGTGTAATAAACTCACGAATTATCAAAATCCTTCTCCTCTAATTTGTTAATAAGATCCATCCAACCTGTAAATGTTTTTGAGATAATATGATTTTCATCACTTCACGAAAATTTTGACTTTAAAAAATTACCATAGTGTTGACCATCTTTGTTTTCATCGAACCAACCAAAAGCCAAATCAGTCAAGTCTTTTGTTGTAAAATTTCTATCCCAATTCAAATCGGTTGTCCATCTTTCGGCGATATTTTGCCCAGCACTACGATATTTCTGTGTGTCACGACATTTATCGTGTCCGTATATACATCGTCGAATATTTAATTCAGCCAAATATTCCAAGTCAGCGTCCCATCTCATCTTCGCCATGCGCACAGCCGGCTCATAGTTTTTAATCTGTCCGGAGGCTTGCATATTACGATACTTATTGTGTATGTCAACGAGGGCTTCTTTATAATCGGATGTCATTTTCAAAAGTTCTGGATTCTTACAGTCTGAACCCCAACCCTACATTCAATATGATTTGATCATTTTATTTTTATCTATAATTTTTTTTTTTCAAAGTATTTAAATATTAAACTTACACCTTTCGATAATGGATTGTTGCAGCCAATATTTTGAATGTTATTACAACTCAATTGACAATAGTCAACGGCCGTTGTGAATGATGCCATCATCAACAAAAGAACTAATTAAAATGAAAAGAATAATTCGTTCAGAATTCAATTTTAAATTTTTAGAATTTGAACTCACCAATTAATCTGATTGATAACATTGTCTTGGTTTGAATTATTTTTAAGTTACAAAGAAATTGAATAATCTCTGCCGGAGCTCAAGTAATCACTGATACCTAAAGTAGCGAAATTAGTCATTTTTATACAAAAAAAAATCCCGTACTAAAGATAAAGACAAAAATAAAGTATTAATTGAGTAAATAAAATTTGGAAGAAAATATTGAGCACTTTTTGACGTCATCTTGTTTATTTACATTCCAGACTTTTTGCTTCCATACTATTTCAGTTTATCAGTGACTGCAATTTAGATAAACATTTTTTAGCAAATATACGTTTATTTGTGATTTATTGAAACATATCTTCGTTGAATGAACCTGTTATTATAATAATGTTCTTTAAGCAACATATTTATGTTTGCAATGTTTTATTTTTTAAATAAACGAACACTTGAAAAAATATTAAATTTAAAATGTGAAAAAATTTCAAATATTTGTGCGTCTACACCTGTATTTCTTTTGGCAAAATTAAAATATTGACATAGATTACACACTACACAGTGTTTAATTGACGTTATTAATTGATAAATAGTAAATAACAGATGTGCACAAATAAAAGCTCATAGACAAGCATCAAAATGATTTATTAGTTAAAATTTGTCCAAAAATATAGTGTAAAAAAATACTGTCACAGACGAAATTATCATTCTGTCGTAAACTGAACTGAAGTCTCATACAGAATGTAATTTATAATTAAAGTTTTATGGATAAAAACATTTCCTAGAATTCAGCTAAATATAATTATTCTTTGTTATTACATCGGTATCTGTAATTCGTAACAATGAACTTGTTTTGCTAGGGATGTTTGCTCAGAAGTTGACGCAATTGAAAAATAGGCTTATCAATATGTTTTGATTCAAAATGACATCATAATGTACTATATAATGATGTGTTATGATAGTACTATTATCATATCATTACATTTTTTAAAGAAAAATAAAATATTAACAATTCAAGTCCATTTCTATAACGCACACTTCAACTAGAGGTGTCAAAGGACACGGACGGCTCGATGATGAACCGGGAAAAGTTCGATGATGAACTATGGTAGATGCGTCTCTTCTCTTCAATTAAAAAACAATCCATAATAATAAAATGGTAGAAATGGATGGAAACAAATCATTGTTATAACATTGTTAATCATTGTTTTACATTTTATGTGAAATGGAATTTTGATAAAATGAAACCTTTTTTCCACTGAATTGAGAATTTCTAGCGATTTTCTGTAAATAGACACTCTCAGAATTCGGAAGGTGATTCAAAGAGTGTGTCTAGAGATTGTAGTCAGTGGAAATAACAGTCATGAGTCACATAAAGCATTCATTGTGACACTATGAATTGATTACAAAAGCTTTGCGTCTGTTTAGATAAAGTAAAAAAAAAAACACAAACCGATTTTATTGCTCCGTTAAAAATTTAATGTCAATCATTTCCAAATTCAATTTCAAGCTGAGTTAAATTGAACACATTTTAATTTTCAAAAGACTTCTTTGATGCTACAGAGACCAGGATATGTTTTATCAGCGCCAGTTTTACATTTCGAAGCCTTTTTACCAGCCACGTAGATTTATCAAGTTACCATGAGAGTAGTTACAGGACAGTAATAATCCACCCACATTTTTTCCATTTTGATTCAAAGTATTAAATTTTTGAAAAGAACGCAAATTAAACAAATTTTGAACTTACGATTCGTCAAAATTATTCGCCTGAAGTTTAATAATCATTTTCTTTCAACCATGGGACTTACCTAGGATTAATCAGAAAGAAAAGAATGAAAATTAGTCAATAAGAATTTAAGCAGAATTGTAGAGTAATGGAATGGGGCTTACCGTCTTTATTTTCATCGAATCAATCAAATGCGAGATCTGCTATCTGTTTTGGTGTAAAGTTTCCAGGGATGTTATCGGCACCTGAAAAGTGCAGCACCCGACGAAGTTGGTGCGCTCTTTTTCAGGTGCCGCACCTCATTCCATGTAAATCTCAAGTGCCGCACTTGAATAATTTTTTTATTGTTTTAACATAAAAATATTGTAAAATAATTTTCAGAAAAAATATTTTGAATAATTTTTATGTTAAACACTGACATTTCTAATGTTGTGAATTTAACAACAATGCATTTTTTTTAACAATTCTTTCAATTACGTCGATTTTTTTTTGTCTAATCACAGTGTGGTACAGTCAATCTGATTTGTATCAGCGACTGTTCGTCACAAGAGAATTCTTTCTGGTGAAGAAGCACATGAGAAGGAAAAAGACAAAAAATGCATGCATAGAATTGTTGATCCAAAAGTTGAGTCTAATAATTTTCAACTTAAAAGAAATATATTCAAAATAAAAAGAAGACAATGAGATCGAAACAAAATATTTCTGTGATCCAAATTGAATGGTTTAGAATTCAGAAGTAAAAAAAATTCAATCTAAACAAGTTTCATATTCAAACTGCTGCTCGAAAATAAAACAATGAGCGTATATTGATTTAAAATGACGGTACTTTTCGGATTTTATTTTACTAAATAAAGAATTTGTCAATAAAAAAGTTTTCTATCAGTCACTATCCAATTGAATCGAATTGAACTCTATTTTCCATGTTGATTTCATATTTTTTTGTTTATTTTTTGTTCTTGTTGATTGATAACTGACAGCAGAATTTAGCCTCTTAATAAAAAATATACAATATTTCATAACGAAAGATGGATCGGGTAGCGATTACAATTGATTTGTTCGGGCACATTTACTGCATATATATATATAAATTTTAAAAATAATTGATATATTTCATATATTGATTTGTTTCAGAAAATACATAAGTTTTGATAAATTCTTTATGACCAGCGTCTTAATTGTTTTCGGTTTCATTACTAATTTCATAATATTCTTTGGTCAAGGCGATCAGTTCGTTCCGTAGTTTTATCGCCTAAACGTAGCCGAAATACAAAAGAAAATTTAAAATGTTTGATTAAAAGATTAATTCAAATGTATATATTACTTTGGATCGTGTCTCCTTTTCCTTTGTGATTAGCGCCTGAATTTGATGAAACATGTTCTTTGTTTGTGTTTGATCGATCACCCATCTCAAATACAATTCTAAAAAAAACGAAAAAAAAAACAATAAATTCGTCCAGTTTGTTTGACATAGATGCAATAATGGTAGTTTTTGTGTACCAGTCCAGAGCTCCAAGGAAATTGGTGCAACAGATGGCCAAATCACACCTTGATTTGGTTCATATATTGGATTTAAAAGTGATTTTAAAACATCTGGTCGATTCAAGTACGACCATAAGCTTGTTGTTCGTGTATGTAATTTGATTGCTTGGCGTTCGCGCTCAGAATCAGCCAAAAATGTGCCATACGAACTAAAAAAACTATTTTCAAAGAGTAAAATCAACATTTGTGTATTGAATTCAAAGCTAAAGGGAAACTGGCAGTGCAATTGATAGACGCTATCAAGGAATAAAACAAATGTTGAGGCCGATGTTTTTGGGCGAAGCTGTGATGGTGTGTAACAGGAATGTCGATGTCGTGTAGCAAATGGATAGCCAGCTTGAATCCATTCACGCTCAATAAGAGCTTGTATTCTATTTGTGAATGAAAAAAATGAACGTTTTGGTACTTAAAAAAAACGTTTGTTAAAATACGATAGGTTCTTACCCTCGCACTGTTCGACAGTCTGGATTCAAAATGATTTGAACGAGCGAGGTTACAATGAGCGTTGAGTCCATTCCTTTTCCACCATGTACCAAACAGGGTGATCCTTCTTGATCCAAACATTGAGCAACAACGCACGCTGCATTCAACGAGTTTAGAACAAGAGTCAACCAATTTGAATTTTCCAAGCGATCAAACCATTTATCGGTTGAGCAGGATGCATCATTACACGCTGAAATTATTTATCAAATGAAAATTACATTGTTGATTTTATTTAAATGTCATTTCTTGAACCTTCAATGAGTTTCGAAAAACTTTGCAGTATATTTGAAACGTGTGATAAACTGCCTATTGATCGAGTCACTTTACGCCATTGATTATAATGTTGATCGGTCTCGCTATTTGATTTGCCTTTACTCCATGTATCAACGATGAACCCTTTTTTGCTACGTCCTAAAATCACATTTAATATTGCTTCATCGGCTCGACATCGTTTATTATTTGCAGCACTGCTTGGTTGTGCACTTCGCAATAAAACTGCCTAGTAAATCAACCAAAATAAAAAAGCAACAATGTTAATTGATAAAATTCATATTAAATTTTGTTTGAATTTTACTCCGTTTTCATGTCGGTAACTCAACACCGGAAATCGTCCTCCGTCCCTAAATGCGGCTGATTGAATGATTTCTTCATCGGTAATGCTTTTCGGTACGACTAATTTCGGTCCATAAGTTGGACACACCGAAAAATCGCGATTGATATGCGTTATACGCCATTCGTCTGTTGCAAGCAATTTTGCAAATTCCAACTCACAACGGAACATTGTATATCCATCTGGAAAAAAATACATGAAAAGTTTTTTTTATAAACACTACTTTCGATGAAAAAAATTGGCCAGTCATGTCATACCTTCGAGAATTGTGTACATTGGTCGATAGAAAAATGGATACAAATATTGTTGACTATTCAAATTGGAAAGTTGTTCAATTGATGTGGCAACATTCAAGTATTCTTGCGCTTTATTAATTTCGAGTGAAATAATTCGAAGATCTTTACATTTGAGTGTAATGAGGCCGCCTACAAAAATGGAAGAATGTTTTATCAGTAGAATTGATAAAATCAAAAATCAATTACTGAAAAAAGAAAGAGAATAAAACGGACCTTGTATAATATTATTCAAAACAATTGGTTTTCGTTCAATAACATCGATTGCATGATGTAGCAGCCATAGTTCTTGGTCGCCTTCTCGACGTGAACTCAGGATTAAATGATGACCTGTGATACAAAGTGTCCCGTCAACTGGTTCGTTTGTTTGTGTGTGTAATATAACGCCGTCCAATTTGGGAGTCAATATCAATTCAGCAAATTCCATACTGTCTTACACAAATTAAAAATTAATTTGTTTTAATATTTGCTACACTGGTCGAATGGCACCTTTCAAATGCTTCACGTTGATATCGTTTCTTTCAAATGCAGATCAACTAATTTATGCCAATAAATTCATGATTATTTCTGTTTTAAATTTTTAAATTGAATGCGTCGTTCACTTGGTCTGGAAACACCGCAAGCTCTTTAACTAATTTAAAATCAATATAAATCACCGGTGATCAATTCACGAAAAAAAACTGTCTAAATATACTTAATTTAATTAAAGCTAGACGTGTACGCCGTTTTTTTGGATTGCTTGTCGCTAAAAAATGCTACAATATGTGTGAGACAGATATTGTGGGAAGTCAAATGTTATCGCGTTCTATGCTTCCTCGAGTGCAATATGTTTCGGATGACGTTTCTCTTATTTTTGTTGTTTGACATATACACCAACGGCAACGCAACAACAACAATATTATCACAACAGTGTCAAACATATCCATTCCCACACGTTCACACACTTCAATTGAATGCAACTGGTTATGTCAAACTGAGCACACAACCACATAACCATGCATCGATTCAGTGGAACGCCCAAATATTCTTCGATCTTTATATTATAGTACATTCAATTTTAAATTTACTTGCAAAAATGTGTTGATATGTTTATTAATGGAATGCATTTTCCAAAACATGTTTGCAATCTAAAAACGAAATCAAATATTATTATTGTAAATCCAATCCCAAGAATGTAGCAAACTGAATTCAATTTTATTGAATTGCTCAATTCACATTGGATTCCAATATAATTTAAAATAAATTGTACGTCTCCACTACGCAAAGTTTACGGTCAAAGTGCACCATATAATGAGTTGAATGAACTCAAGTCCGTTACAATAAAGTATATCTTTTATTATATTTTTTTCAATCAAAATTTTAAAGGTAAGTCGTATTTATTGTACCTTGGCGATGAAGTGGTTGCAGTTGGATCTATTTATTTTTGTATGTTTTTTTTAATGACACGTGCATCTAGGGTCGCTTTATTTCACGGATTACTGATAGTAACGTAAGTTATTAGCACTCTTTGTATATGGGTTTATTGATTAAAATCAAATCAGAACATTTTCAACTATCGGTAAATCAACTACAAAACTCATCGATTAGCTTCGAATTTGAATCAATCTTAGTTGAGCCACTCAGTACATCAGAAGTTGATGTACTGTATACATCAACTTCTATTCCTAGAAGCTACTACATTATATACACTAACTATTAGGATGAATTGATTGATGTAAATCAACTGAATGTTGCCACCGAGGCGCTCTCAAATATATCCGCCAAACACTTGTTTGTACAGAATATCAAACAATTGGACGAGGAGACTGAAGCTCAAATTGCTTTATTGAAAACGGCAATTCTCTTTGGTCAATTCAATCTTATTCACACGTGTGAAATCTCAGCGGAACTTGAATTCAGATGCCGTTTCAATGGAAAAT